AGTGACATTCTCTTCCTCAGTATGTTATGTATTCTCTTGCACCTATAGAACTACAAGTCACCTGTCAGGTTGCCAGGGACAGTCCTGGTTTCACCTGGTGGCTTGGAATCATTTTTCGTAGCGCTCCCTCATGCTCCTGAAATGCCGTGGTCAGATCACAAAATATAAGATCATTGATGGAACTTTGGAAATACATCGGTAACATGAAAACAACAAAGAAAAAGGGAAGATTGATACTATTAGGAATAATGGGGGTTAAAAAGTTAGATTTTAGAAAATGTGTTACTTATTCACTTGAAAACTGACCTGTGATGTAGTCTACTGTGGGACCCACAGTGTCTTACCACTATGTCTGGGATTTTTTTTCCCCCTCTCAGTACTAGGGATTGAACCCAGGGCCTTGACATAGACCTACATCCCTAGAACTTTATAAAATTTTTCATTTTTTGAGACAAGGTATTGCTAAGTCACTAAGTCTCTCAGGCTAGGTTCAAACTTTGTGATCCCTCTGGCTCAGCCTCCAAGAGTGCTGGGATTACAGTCCTGTGTCACCATGCCTAGCAATGTCTGAGTTCTGACAGTGAACAGAAAGCCACACCAGGGAATGGAAAGTGGACCTATCCCTGTAACCATCAGGTGTCCAGAAAGATGAATAATGAGAGCTACCCAAGGAACGAGAATCCACCCTTCCCCACTCTCTTCCTGCCAGTACTCCCTGCACTGATTCCTAAGGAAAGAATCTGTGCCCAGGAGGACGACGAGGTCTTGCTTGGTCTACCCAAGATCGTTTAGTGGGTGTTCTTTCTGTAAGATCCCTGCAGGAGTTCACAGCTTTCCTTCGAGGAGTAAGGTACTGGAGGGGAGAAGCCATGCACAGAACAGACTGCATCACACAAAGATCTCTGTGTGTTCCACTGTGAAGGCTTTCACCCGAGGAGCTGGAGGAGGAGAACCAAAGATGTGAGGAAAACCTGGCAGGAAAGATTTTACAAACAGCAAGTTATCTGGGATCCTGATGGGATCATCTTGGGAGGAAGATTAATATAAAAGCTGGGTGCACAAAAAAGCAGAGAAATGTGGATGCTGGAGGCAGGAAAATGGAATTGGTTATAACCCATCCAGATGTTAGATAACAAGAATCAGGGTCCAACACAGTAGAAGAAACCATGCAAAGTTAGTGTGACGGTGAGAAGGCATCAGACTGGCTGGGGAAGCAGAGGAAGAACATTCACAGGTAAGAGGCTTGGTAGGGTTCAACCTGAGAATACATGTGTTTGCTACAGAGAGAAAGCAGGCAAGTGAGACTTTTCTGATGGTGGAAGTGAGGATCAAGAGGAATGAACAGGATGAGGAGGTAGAGATGACTGCAAATAACCCCCACCAGGAGAGGGCCACGTCCAAAAGTCATGTCACTGAGATCACAGAATGCTGTATGCAAAAAATATGCATATCCAGCTGAATGACTCATCCATCCATGGGAAGACTGAGCTGTGTTCATTTGACAGTCATTTTCAAGTGTCACACGTGAGTCACTCTGCACATATGAAGATAAAGATACAGGATGCTCCTTGCCCTTACTGAGCTCACAGTGTACAGTAAGATGGACACATCTATGGAATTGGCAGAAAGGTATTCTGATGTAGTAATGTTATGGCCTATGTCTAGATGTTCCCACCAAAGCCTTATGAGGTCATAATTGGGGCTTTTTCAGAGATGGCTGGATCTAGAGTGCGGGGAGCTGGAATTGATTCATGACGCAATGCTAGGCTCAAGAGCAGTAGGATTAAGGGTGTGAGTGCTACCTGCCCTAAGTAGTCTGGGTAAAAGGGGCAGAAAGACACTGTTAAGGCCCCCTTGCTTGCTTTTGCTGTCTCTTGCATTCAGTGAACTGTTTTTCCTCTGCTATGCACCACTCTGACGTGGAAACAGCTAACTATGGACTGAAACCTCTACATGTGAGCCAGTTAAATATTTTCCCCTTTAACTTTGGGTATTGGGTATTTTTATCTTAGAAATGAGAGAAAAGAACCGAGACAATTAACTAGGTGGGTTGGGTTTTATCCCTTGAGCTCTCAGCTATTGCTTCCCTGTTCATGATAAAACAGTAACCAGGGAAGAATTGCATAGCAGATCTTGTAAACTCCAATATTATTAAATATTTGCAGTCAAAAGCTTGTAGGATTCTTAGCATTTGGGTACCCAAAACAAAGCTTACACCCAAAAATAATGCATAATAACGTAAGGGGCGGTCCCAGTGTCCCAAGGAAGTGATGATTTATACACTGGGGCAGAGCAGGAGGCAATGGGCTGAGGGAGGAAGGCTGAGAAGGGCACCTTGCCTGGCCTGCAGGACAAGTCCTTGGATGGGGATAGGACAGAGACAGACCAACAGATGGGTTTGAAGCTCAGACACCAATGGAATCCCACTCCAAGCCTCCTTTAAGTAGCAATGCTCACCTCCATCGACTGCCCTCATGTCCATTATGTGCTCTTAGGCACGGTAAGCAAGCAATAAAGCCCAATGGCTGGGAAATCAGCACCAGGGTCAGAGCAAGGACTGAAAACCACAGCCAGCAGGGATGTAGAGGCTGAGATGCTGGCATCAAGAGCTAAGCCTAGAAGGCTGGTGGGGGTGATGGCAACCGAGTGGACAGAGGTCAACTGTAGCCTGGATGCCACCTTCTTGATACTGGGTGACATGAAGACCACCACTACCACAACCCCACAAACTACAGGCAACACAGGGGGACCCTGACCCAATCAATAAAACCCTGATTGAGTTTACCATGAACTTAGATGCAATTCATGTCACCAGGTAGGATTTGGACTTCAGACGTTTGCTTTGCAGACCTGAGTCTTGGACAGACACACTGATGCAGAGGATGAGGCAGGAGGATCCCTAGGGGGATGTGTGGGGACAAATGAGACTCATTAGTCCCTGGAGGGCTGAGTGGAGGGGGCCCATTAGCAGGGCACTGGAGGACAGCTGGCAGCAGGACAGAGGTAAAGGCAAGCACAGCAAAGTCACCATGGCCACAGCTCAGTGACAAACACAAGGCCATGAAGTTAAATGCAATGGGTTGCAGAGATCAAGCCCAAAGCCACAAGCCCTTCCACTCATAGGGTGTGGGGCTACTGAGGGGCTGGACAAGGGACAGTGTGAGCAGGATTTCATTTTAAGGCTTGGGCAATGGCTACCTTAGGGCGATCCGCTCCTGCAGGTCAAGATTTCCTCATTCTATCTCCAGTCTCACATTTCCTTCTACTATCATACTGATAATAACCACCCTCAAACCTGTACTACATTCAGAAGGAAAAAGGTGCTTTGATCCAGATTTTCTAAACTGATGTTTAGCTCAGAGTCCAGGATTGTGAAGTGAAAGTTAGTTTGGTATTTGGTCGCATTTTAATAACCTGCATCTTGATTAGAGAGAGCAGAATAAACTGATTTAATATTTAGCAACTAGAAATATCTCCTATGCACCTATGAATATACATGATATATGTTTAAAAGAAAGAGAAAGGGGTTTATCTTTTTAAAAGCCAGGACTCGCAGGGCAGGCACAGCGGCCCCTTGGTGCCAGCAGGGCTGGGGTTCCGGGGCTGCCCAGGTCTGTGGGGTACCTGGGGGAGCCATTCCCACAATCTTCCCATTTTTTCAGCCCCATCAGCGATTCTGTAAGCCCTCTGATGCTTTATCATCAATCCCTTCCTGTTCTCGAAGTGGGTTTTGCTTCTTATACACTGACCAACACAGATCAAGTTAAGTACTTATGTAAACAAAATTCAAATACGCAGTTGTTAAGATCAGGCACTCTGAAGGCTGAGTTCCTGGGTTTGAATCCCACCACTGGCCAGCTACGTGACCTTAGGTAAGCTGTTGTTATTGTTTAGATCTAGAAGCCCCCAGGTGAAGCCTCGTGTTTGGAAGGTGTCTGGATGACGGGGCTGTTGTACTATGGGTTCATCTGTTGATGAGTTCATGGCTGAGTGTGTTGTATGTTGTCAGGAGGTGGGGCATGGTTGGAAGATGTGGGTTGCAGGGGACATGCTTTTAGGTCTCTCTCCCTCTCCTTCCTGGCCGCCATGGGGTGAGCAGTTCTCCCCGACCCACACCCTTCTGCTGTGCCATTTTTGCCATGGAGGCTGCAATCCATGGAGACCCAACCCTCTGAAACTGGAACCCAAAATCAACTCCTCCTTTAGGTCATGGGTGTTGTGTTATTTTGTCCCAGTGATGGGAAAGCTAATACACTGCTTAACCTTTATGTGACTCAGTTTCCTCACTGGTAAAATGATGACTATTGCAAGAATAATTACCTTACAGGGTCACACAGTGATTAATATGTTTAAAGTGCTTATACCAGTGCCTGGCACCTAGCATTTGCTCAATAAATACTTGACTTTTTTTGAGACAGGGTCTCACTATGTAGTGAGACTGACCTGGAACCCACTATATAGCTCAGGCTGGTCTCAAACTCACAGCGATCCTCCTGCCTCAGCCTCCCAAGTGCTGGGATTACAGGCGTGTGCCACCATGCCTGGCTAATACTTGACTTTTTAATATTAAAGTTGTTTAGTATCAAAACAGCAATTAACTGAAAATATACTGACAATTTCTCAAAAGAAACTTCCATTCTACAATTATTTTTTCCTTTTCAATACAGGTACAGTAGGTTGGCTTTTGACCTAATTTTAAATTTTGCTAGTCACACATGAAAAAGAATCGAGTGGTACTGCTCTTTGATTACTCTGCTACATTTAAACTCTTACTGATTAAAAGGACTGGATATCCTCTTAGTAAAACCATCTGATATGGCTTATTCCAAAGGAAAGTGATTTTAAGGAGGGAGAACGCCTTAAAAATTAAATGTCTTATTCATCTATTTTCTAACTTTCTGAAATGGGAATAAACTTTATTTAAAGTCTTCATAAATCTTAAAAAAATGTTTAATGACTCTTATTTTCTACATACCTACAATGTTCTTTATATCCAGAAGGGCCTTGGTTTAATTTACCCTGGAACAAAATGACTTATTGAAATCAGTAAGCCCTGTTGATGGGTTTAGAACTGAATTTTTCTGGAAATGAATCTGCTCAAATAAGGGATTGGTATAAATTTAGTAAGCTGGATCTTTAGGCTGTTATCGTTGAGAAGAACAAAAAACCTGGAGTTTTGGTTTTGGTTTGTTTTTGCGAAGGAAGCGTTTAAGAACTGGCAGTAGAGTGGAAAGAGCCCCAGCTTGGACACAGGGAGAACTCAGAAAGTGAGGGGTCCACTCAACAGCAGTACTGCCCCTGCAGTTCTTAGTATTTATAACCAACCTGTTGTTCACGAGAGAATTTTAGCTTCACGGATGAGACACACTGAGCATTTCCTCTGCACCCAGCTTTGGTGTCTCTGAAAGGGCGGGGAGTGATATGGGGTAGGAGGCTCTGTGACCCAGACATCCCTGCAGGGCTGGGAGAATAAACTGTTCTCAGGAGCAGCTGGCTGAGCTATGTCCTCCACAGGGCTGAGCGCCATCAGCACCCAGCGGCCCCCAGCAGGGCAGAAGCAGGAAGCCATGCTCACTCTACCTAGGGACAGGGAGGTGCAAGGAAGACACGTTTTCACCCTCCATGCCCCGGGGACGATGGTGCCCAACTGGGGAAGCTGGAAGACATGGAGGTCAGTTCAGTTTGAATTCTCCGTGTTATTCTGGGAGTGGCTCCACAGAAGGCAAAGGAGACGAGACCCTACCCCATTTCTCCTGAGAACCCCGCCCCACTTTCCTGCCTCCTGCAAACCCTCTCCACAATCCCCAGACAGAGGTACTCAAACTTCTTCTGTTCATAACTTTCTGATTACAGTCACTCAACCCAGTGCAAGTGAGTCTTGTGCAATGAGAAGAGCTACTAACATTTATTCAGTCCACAAATGCTGAGCACCTGACGGCCAGGCACCCCGCTGGTCATCAGCATGCACAGAACACAAGGTGTGGAAGCATAAAGCTGCTGCCAGCAGCGTGCCAGTGCGGTGCCCAGATGTCTCGGAATGAATGAGAAGCTGCACAGTGTTTCATTAAAGGCCCATTAGGAAGGTCACCAAGCAATGACATCAAAAAAGCTGAGCCCGGGAAGCAAGCAGAGGGCAGGGCCACAGGGCCATGCAGTGGCAGCAGCTGAGCATGGGGCCACTGCAGCTGGCCCTGTCCTGAGGCAGCGGGACCTTCTCAGTAGTTCTAACCCCAAAACTTGACTTCCAGTTGCTAAGTAAAGAATGTGCCAAACAAGCCAATGATGAGACACCGACTGTGAACCAACAGGCACAGGACAGCTCGCCGCCTCAGGAGACTTGCAGGGTGCAGGAACCGTTTGCGCGCACACAGGCGTGACAGGCGTGAGCGAGTCTCTGAACGGCGTGGGCGCTGGCAGGAGCAGCCTTACGGGTCGGGGGGTGAGGAGGAGCTGCCCCGCAGAACCGGCTACTTTTTCATCTCCAAAACGGCGCTTCCTGGCCCGCGGTTCTTGGCACTGCAGATGTTGCAGTACTGTGTAGAGCTCTGAAAATGAAATTTAAAAATGCAGATTAACGGAAGCCTTTCTCTCTTTTTCTACTGCAGCAGCATGAGTGGAGCGGAGTGGAGAGGAGGGACAGGATGTGGCTCCTTTTCCTGGAGGGTATTTTTGGTTCACAGAAAATTCAGAATAGGCTCACTCTGCGGATCAGAGGTGCTGCCCAGTAGCAGGCCAAGTCTACGGGGCTGGGACGGGGACCTGACCCAGCTCTAAGAGCGGCATCAGGACACCCAAGTCAGGATGAGAAAATACTTCTGTGCTGTGCAACTCTACAGGTCAACAGCCAGGGAGTTCTTCACGGAGGACTTTTGTAATGTTTACCCACAGTTTAGCGTTTGAAAAGTAGACAATTTTTTTCTTTTTACATGAAGTGAAAGTATAGTCATGCATTGGTACGGTGGGGGGAGTCGATGCCAGGACCTCCCACGATACCAAAACCCACTGGTAGTCAAGTCCCTTACATAACTGGAATGCAACCCATGCAAGGGCTCTGTAGGCTTTAAATCCTCTCTGCGTTTCTTATGAAATGTGGCAGAATGAAAATGCTCTGTAAATGTTTGCCGTACTGCACTGTTTAGGAAATACAGGAAATAAGCAAATGTGCAGTACTGAGGAGGCCAAGCCACCCCCCACCAATGTTTCTGATTTGAGGTTGGTCGAACTCATGAATGCAGAAACCACGGGTATAGAAAGCTGGGTGCACAGAACAGTTTAAATCCCCAGAGCCATGAGATCGATGGTTCAGGGTGTACACGGCATCCCTGGCGCTGCCTCGGTTTCTCTTTCGCTCCAGCCCCAACTCACCACACCGGACACGGGTAGGCACTCCTTATGGAACATGTGGCGGCAGTGGAAGACAACCGCACTGAAGGGCTTGGCTGCATCTGCGGAAGAAGGGGGGGAGCTCCCTGCAGTGAGCCGCCCGGAAGGGGCAGCCTGGTTTCCCGCCCCAGCTGCCTCAGGGTGGCTTCTTCCTGAGCACATTCACTGCTGAGCAGCAGGCACTGCACTCCAGTCGCCGCTGAGAGTCACAGCTCACTCACCGGGCCTCTGTGTCAGCTTCCAGAACCATACACGGGGAGCAGTTTACAGCAAATGCAGTCACATGTATTTTAAAAGCTGGGATCCGTGTGTATATGAGGGGCTGTGGGTGCCCAAACCATCCCCAACACGCATTGTGTTCCTATCCCACACACAGTCTGTGGCTCTATGGAAATGCTAGTCCTAGTGGACCCGATGTCAGAGGCAGACCTGGGACAGAATCCCAGCTGGGGGCCTCTGTGTCACTGCACGCCTGCCTGGTGTCTCCTCATCTCTGGCACAGGGCGGCTGGCTCATTTCTGTAAATGTCAGTCCACTGGGCAGGGATCTCGCTGTACGTGTGGGCTGTGTGGGGTCCCTTCCTACTGAGACCCTGCCCACACTGCCCGGAAAACCACTTCTTTGGCTTAAAACCATGGCAGGTTTTAACAAGTATTTAAAACGCCAAACCTCCTGCTTCTAGAAAATGATTTCTCATTCTAATGCCTATGAAATAATCCCTTTCTGCTAAAGGAATGTGAGGCCAGCCAGGTGTTTAGTGCTGGATTTTAGCATTTTTAGTATCTGGACAACTGTGCTTGAATATTTGCTTTCAAATTATGTGATTTCCTCTTTTATGTCAGAATCATCCTTTCTCAAGGATGATCCTTTCTTCATCATACATGAAGACAGATATATCTACTAGGAAACAAAAATAAACCAAAGCTTGTATCTCTCCTTTGAAAGAGTCGCAGTTCCGATTAGATGCTGAGTATTAAGTTTCCATGGAGATGCGAGATGAGAGATCTGGTTGCCTGGAAGTCCACATCAAAGAAGAGTAAGGGAAGGCCAACTCTAAAGTATTTTTCTAGATACCCAATGGTCCTGCTACCCAGAGTTCAAACACACGGCTGCTAAATTTTACCTGGGGACAGGGTTCTCAAAGAGAGGCCCCCGGAAGCTTGTTAGAAATGGCAAGTTCTCAGGCTCCCACACCCACAGGGTCAAGCTGTGCCTACAGAGGCCGCGAGCCCCAGAGCTGGACACTCCATTTGCAGATGGTGGCACTAGTACCAACTGAGCAGTTTGAAAGCAGAAAGTTTTTCCCTGACCCAGATTATTCTGAAAGTTTATAAATAGCAATTAGCCAGTTTCAGAATTCTAATTCCACCCATCATGGATACGTATTTTGGGCCATTTCTCTCCCAACCTTCTTACCTGTGGGGAGGATGGGGGACAGGCAGGACTCACAGATATTCTCCTCTGAAAGAGAAAACATCGAGGTTAGGTGTGGCTCCATCCCCACAGCAGATCGCATGCACAATCCAAGGGGTGGTTTCAACTCTACTCACCATCCACTAGAACGCCTTTCATTTGAGTTCGGTGCATCTTCTTCAGTAAGGACAAGGAGTCAGAGACCAGAATCTTCTTGCAGCCTTCCCGCAGCAGGATCTAATGCACACATTTGAAGAGAAAGCCACCCTGAGTAGAAGGGCTTCTTACTGGTGACTCAGAGTTCTTGTGCTTGAAATCCTCCAGAGGCACTGATGGCTTTCTTTCCCTCATTAAACTTTTGCTCCCTCCAAACCATGAGGACAGACCTGGGCAGCAGTGGCTGTATAGCCCTTGTAAAGTCAAGGACAAATTCCAAGCTCTGGTGACACAGGCCCCATAATAACCCAGGCTACCACTGGCTTATGAGGCTTTCTCATACCGGTTCTCCACCTCCAGCCCTTCTGTGACTTGTTCACTGTGACCGTCTCATCTTTGCCCGGGATGGATGGTCTGTTAGTCCAAAATCATCACTTTATTTCACAACTTATCTACTCACTGCACAGACAGCTACTGGGTCCCCTCCTGGCCAAGGCTCTGGGTGGAGTTGACAAGTTGAGCAGAGAAGCAAGTGACTTATAGTGGCTGTGGGTCACAGCTAGTGCCCCCTGTCCAGAACTTTGGCTTTCTTTGAGTGGCATCAATCTCCAATGCCAAACCTACAGGTGTGTTTTGCTTGTAGAGGTTCAAATTCATGCTACTGGGGAAAGGGACTTAAGGGAGCAGCCAGGTGTGGCCCTCCAAGCCTGTCATCTCCAATGGCCTGTGTTTCCCCAAAGTTCCCAAGAGTCTCCACGTGTATGAAGAGTATGTATGTAAATGAAGGCCACACTCAGGAAAGCAGACGTTCAGATTGTAGCCGTTCCTGCTGTTTCTAGTACTGATAAGCAACACATGACTAGATGTTAGCATTCTCACATTAACTGAGATATTGTCCATGAGGTTTTCTTTAAAATTTTACAAGAAATGGATTTTTTTTTTTTTTTTTTACTTTGGTGGTACTGGCAACTGAATCCAGGGCCTTCACATTGAGCTACATCCCGAGCCCTTTGATAATTTTTTTTTTGAGACAGGGTCTTGCTAAATTGCTCACCCTGGGGTCAAACTTGTGCTTTTCATGTTCCAGCCTCCAGGGTGCTGGATTACAGTCATTCACCACCACACCCAGCTAAAATGGCATTTTGGGGATTCATTTTAAAGACATTAAAAATTTAACAGATGTTATTACAGTATAAAATTTAGGGAAATTTATAAGCAAGCACATACATCAGCTCAGCCTCCAACATCAAAATAATAAACTTAAAAATAGTGTCAGCCGTAGCATCTGTGGTGTTTCATAAAGAACCAACTCTGTCCCTCGGGGTGCTCAGGGCACTCTGCAGGAGTAATACAGGAAGGCACAGCCAGCAGTCTACACAGAAGCCACCGGGTCTGCAAACTAAAAAGAGCAAAAACTGCAAACTAAGAAACCGTCTCCCAGCAGGATGACACTTTCCGAACAGCCACTGTCAGCTGCCTGTAGATGGTAGAAGGAGAAGTCCACCAAAACAGCTGACTTTGTCATTTCGAACTTCATTTTACCCAGATCCAAAGCTCCCAGTCAAACATATATAAAAACATCTAAGTTTCACTGACATGATGATAGGCGGGGTATCAAAAATTGGGACATCTGTAGAGAAGTCTTTTGTTCCTTACATCCACAATGACTGAGACTTCCAGTGGTGGGAAGTGAGAGAGAGTTGTACAAGATTCCATGTAGCCTTGCACAGGTCCCTTCCAAATTAAAAAAAAAAAAAAAAAAAAAAGCAAAGTTTCATTAGGAAAAGGCTTTTCATTTCCACATCTTCCTGTCTGGAATGTGGCTGGAAGATACTCAAATAAGGCTGTGATCCTGTGACCAAGAGGTACCTACTCTAAGATACATTCTCCTATTGATGGATAGTTAGGCTGTTTCCAGCGTAAGACTGCTAGGGAGACAGGTGTTCAGAGTGTTGTAATATACACGTTTTTGTGAAACTGCTTTCCATGTCTTATATAAATACTGTACCTACTGGGTTATGTGGTAGGTACATGTTTAATTTTTTAAGTAACTGTCAGTTTCCCAAAGTCATACTATTTTACATTCTGATATATTAAGTTCTGATCTCTGATAAACCTACCGTCCTTATTCCTTTTAGATAATCTTAGTCCTTTACTTTTATATAAATTCTAAGACTAGATGTGGCTTTAGAATCAATAATATTTGTGATTTTTAAATTTTTTTTATTTTTTTGGTACCAGGGATCGAACTTGGGTTGTTGCACTTACAAGGCAGGTGGCAGAACTACTGAGCTAAATCCCCAGCCCTATTTGTGATATTATTAAATGGTGACACATTTTCAAATTGCTATTTTTTTTTTTTTTTTTTTGTAGCAGGGATCACACTCAGAACCTTGTGCTTGCGAGGCAGGCAGTGGAACCACCAAGCTAAATCCCTGGCCCATAATTTGTGTGTTTTTACAGCTGTATTGAAAGACCATGTTCTCTCCTATTGCCCTCATGTAATGCTGGTGTTAAGTTTACAAATGCCTCACGAAGAATGGAGTTTTCCATCCTAATAGAGGAAAAATGCATGTAAATAGGGGTTGCTTGTTTCTTTAAAGGTCTGATAAGACTTGTCTTTAAAATTATCTATGGAATAGTGTTTTTGCTGTGCCTGTACATTGTGACCACTTGCTCCATTTCTTTAATGACTATAGGTCTGCTCTGTTTGTTCATGGTAATTTATATTTTCCTGGAAAACTGATAATCTCTTCTGGGTTTTCAAAGAAATGGCTATGAGCTTGTAGTCTTTACCTGCTTCAGGTGTTGAAAACTTAGCCTGTAAAGGCTTTCTTCTTTAAGGTGTGCTGGTTATTCCCTGATCTTTTTCTCAGACTTCAGAGAATCTGCAATTACATTTTCTGCTGGTTCAAGGATATTTGCAGACTGCAGAAACTTCTAAAGCTGTGGTTTTAGGATTGTACCTTTCTCCTACTCCTCACCAAAGTAGTTCCTGTACTCCAAAGTATACTTATTGGTCTTTCAAAGTTAAAAGTGATTTCTACCCAGCACAACTGTTCTTGCCTGTTTCTTCCTGATTTACACTGGTTTCCTATAATCTGTGTTGGGTAGCCTCTGATACTGTTTTCAGAAAATCAGCTGGAAACGTTTCATAATCTAGAAAATGACTACCTTGTAAATAACAGAGCACCATTCCTAACCTTTGCTTTGTAATCCTTATCGCCTATGAGAATTTCACTCAAGATAAACCACTGTCTTTTCTTTCCTAACTTCATAATATTAACTTTCATCTTGAAAGTATCTGTGGGCATTGCTTAGAAAGTGCAATGCTATCTTTCAGAGAATCATTTTCCTTATGAGCCTTCCTGTTTTCCCAAGAGGCTCTGTACTGATGGAGCAAATTCTTCCCACTGCCTTCTCAACTACTCTTTCTCCCGAGTTCAGTTTTTCTAAGTTTTGTATTCTATTAACATAACCTTTATTGTTTCCCCTTCATAAATTCAGTTTGCTATGTGTGAACTTTGTGCTATAGTAAATTTAAGTAGACAGTTGTTGAAAACCAAGCTGAGACTTTAGATTTCATTCTAATTCATCATCACTAATAATTGCAACCAAGAGTAAAACATCAGACTCTCCTTGTAAAGCAATGGAAGACTACATATCAGTGAGGTCACTGTTATTCATTACAGACAGCTGCCATGGGAAAAGTGTTATCAAAAACTGCCAAGTTCCTGAAATCTTTATTTAAAAAGAGTCATTAAACACTGAGGTTTTTGTATTACCGAGTGGACACTGCAATGCTCTTCATCAGAACTGCAAATGATGGCTTTGCAAGCCCCACTGTGTTATAACAGACTCGCCACTCATTTCCAGCTCTTCCTCTAGGCTACATACCATGGCACTTGAATTCTACTTACAATAGCTCCGCTTTTGATCTGACACTTCGATCAAAGCTTATAAATTTCCAAAATAAAACAGGAAAGACAGACTATCAAAAGCAATCTTATAAACACAACTGTATGCAAATTTACAATGGCACAAAGTATGCATGTACCAAGCTGATTAAAGAAATTACAGTGGGTTGTAACAGGCTGCCTGTGTCACCTAGTACCTGTGATGAGGCCAAATGGAAATCATTTAAAAGAAAAAATATCCATTTGATCCTCAAAGTTAATTTTAATGATTTATAAGTTAAAAACTATCTTTTGGGGGAGAAAAAACTTATATACTGGAAGTGAAAAAGAAACTGATGTAGGTCCAAAAAACATGTAAGAAAGATGTCACTATTTTCTCTTAATCCATTTGTCTCTGGAATTCAAAGAGACATGGGAAAAAAGAAATGTGGGGACTGTAGCAAATGTAAGTACGGGAAAATAACTAGTAGGTATGGAGCTATCTGGTGTGAGTTAGTATAGGCAAGAAGCCAGAGGGTGCTGAAGATCACACTCTGATTTCCAGTAGGCTTTGGCTCATGGAGGGCTCTACTAAGTGCTAGCTCCTCTGCTCCTCTTGCCTCTTCTGGAGCAAGCTGAGACGTGTTTGCCATTTCCTCCGAGGGGTCACCCACAAGGAAGCTGTCCTAATGATAAAATTGCTTTGAAAAGGTTGTTTGTAGCTGTGAGAGAAAATATAGTCCTGGATGAGAAGGGCATTAAACTCAGCCAAAGGTTCAAACGGAGATCTTCACTGTCCCAGGATGCAGGTCATTTTACCTTTCTGAGCATCAGCCCTGCACTCTGAAAGGCCGGTGACACCTCCTAAGGGACTATCAGGTAAGACAGTCAAAAGAAGAGCATTTAAAAATAGGCACTGAGGGAAAACATCTCTAACAACAAAAAAGGAAATAAATGCTTACTTTATAAAAATGCTTAAAATAGAAAATATAAATATACTAAAAATAGGAGAAAATTAATGACACAACTTGGGAAATGGTCAGTTTATTGGAAAAACTAAAATATCATTATATATATATAGTTGGGGGAATAATTTGTATCAAAGCAGTTGTCTTGAAGCCATTCCTACATACATTTTAGGTTTATAAAGTATCATACAGGTTATTTTCTTCTGATTTCATGAACTTTTAATACTCTGTTGCCTAATTACATTAATAAGGTAACTAGGCTTAATTAAACAATGATAATGTGGCTGAATATCCATTTCCCTCAACTATGTCAGAGGCTTTGTTTGTTTTTTGAGACAGGGACTATGTAGTTGAGACTGACCTGGAGCTCACATGTAGCCCAGGCTGGTCTCGAATTCTCAGTGATCCTTCTGCCTCTGCCTCCTGAGTGCTGGGATTACAAGTGTGCGCCACCACGCCCGACTCAGAGGCTTTTAACATGTGTCATGAGGCTGTATTTTGGCTAAAGAGAGCTGCTGTGGTACTGAAACTAGTTATCTTTTTCCAAAAACTTCCTCTACTTTCTCTTTTTCCAATTCATAATCCTCTTCCAAAGCATTTTTGGTGCTCAAATACATTGAAAATGCTTCATATTCAATTGCGTATCTCCCCCAATAGATTCCCAATGCACATTACCCAAAAAATGGTGTCATGAGCATTCCTCCAACATCTGATCTGAATTTCACTGTTTCCTGAATGGTTTTTAATATCCATTGGGGTTTCTGCCCATCCCTCAGCACTGTATTCTGGGAACTCCAAAATTTGGGCGATGAGGAGGTGGTGCCAATTTTTTGTGCTGAGACCTTGAAAAAAATCAACTACATGAAACAAAGAGTAAATTTTTTTACTGTTTTATGAAATAGAGTAAACGGAATCAAAGAGAAACAAGTGCAATCCTTTGGAAACTGAAAAGGCTCTGCTGAGAGATGGAAGTTATTTTTATAATGATGCCTAATCACTTGCCTAGGGAAAGAAAATAAATAAATGGCCACTAATGAAAAAGAGCTGCCTTTCTGGGGTGGAGGGGGGGATCTAATCCCTTTCTTCATCCCTGAGAAGGAAGCAGCCTAGAATTTCTGAAACAACCTGTCCAGCACACCATGTTCTCTCAGCAGCCTCCACCAAGGCCACTGAGTCCCAGTGGGGACAACAGGTGTGGCAGTTTCCAAAGCTCTGCCACCTTCCTTCTGAGTCTCTTCCTCACTGAGAAGCCACTTCCTAGCTGGGGGACTTACAGGCAACAAGGGCTCTTTGAACCCTCTGGCTACATAATTTTCAGCCTTTTTAACACATTACCCAACTGCATGCTTACACAGCATAGATTGTAAACTATAATTAACAGGATAAAATATTGATTTAGCAGCCGTTTGAGTGGATTTTTATGTTAGACATTCATTTTGCATCTAATAATAATTTTATTTTTATTCCCAGCCAACTCAGAGCTATGCTTGTTTGTTCATAAACAATGAATGGGCAGCGAGACCATGGTGGTGAGTGGGCTTCTCGGGAATAAGGGCCCAGTGAGGGAGATTTATGGGTGGTCTCTCAAGCACCAGAAAGGCACCTTTGATCCCAGGGTCAAGCTCTGTGGACATCAAATGTGGATTTGAAACTTTCAGCATATCCGGGCACGCCCAAGAGGTAAGGGCCAGTGAGGCACAGATCACACCCAGCTCACTAGTCCCCAGGGTACTCTAACCATTCTCACCAAATCCAATTCCACGCCCTGGCGTTGGCGGCTTCCCATCCTGGACCACCACTCTGTTCTGCATTCTTAGGGTGCTGCCCAAAATGCAGACTCCTCCTGCCATCTCTCCTGTCTACCAGCCCGTTTGTTCTTCCCCTTCTCATTCTCCCTCCCATAGCCTCTGTCCTGGGCCATCTGCAGCGCTCCAGACCCCGCTGGAAATGAACCCTGCACGCCACGAAGCTTTCTGCCCAGTGGTTCCCCCACTGCTCTGGCTCAGCTGAATTCATTTCTCCCCCACTGACCCCTTCCCCAACAGGACTCCCGAGCGAGGTGTAACTGTTCCCAATCTGACCTGCAGGGAAAACCTCTCCTGGAAAGTTGTTGCTGGGTCGCAGCACAGCCCCCACCGGCTACAGGGCCAACATCGCAGGTCACTGAGGCTCCAGTCCTCGGTCTCCTGACTAATCCGCTCCAATGACTACTCCCCTCATCCCACTTTTCAGAGAATATTATATATTTTATTAGTGGATGTTAATGCTACATGATGATGGGATTTATTTGGGGAAGCTGGCACATGCACTTAACAATTTCAATCCCCTAACCTCCTCCACAATTCTATCTTCTGGTTTCCTGTCTCCTCTCCTTCATTTCAATTACTCATTTTTTTAGACTTTCCTGTTTGTTTGTTTGTTTGTTTGAGATAGGGTCTCACTATGTAGTTGAGACTGACCTGGAACTCACTATGTAGCCCAGGCTGGTCTCGAACTCACAGCGATTCTCTTGCCTCAGCCTCCCGAGTGATGGGATTACAGGCATGCGCCACCACGCTTGGCTTAGGCTTTTCATATAAGAAAAACATTCAATAGTTATTAACTTACTGAATCTAATATTAAGTTTCTGACTAATTTCATTCAACATGATGGTTTCTAGTTCCACATATTTTCCTGCAAATGATATGATTTCATTCTTAATGCCTGAGTAATACTTCATTGTGTATATATGCGAACAGGTCCACTGCAGCTCTACGCATTTTCATGCTAACAGTGTTACACTCCCTGGTCCCTATTTCTTGTCTCTCCAACTTCACCATTTCTTTACGCCCCTATTTTCCACCCCACTGATCTTCCTTCAGTCTCTTCTCCTTTTCACCTGGCCTTACCTCAGATGTAACTCTGAGTTCAGGTGGCCCTGGACTCTGTACCCTCCTCAGTGACTACTGGTCCAACAAGTTCTCATACAACACTCCTCTTACGAACTTAACTTTTGGTTTTACATGCAAGATTATGTTGTTTTCAGGAAAGCAATTTCATCCACTATTATAAAAACTAATTTTTCAAGGGAATCAGAGGAAACAGTCTGAATTTTTAAGGCAATATGTTTTGAACAGTTTCAAGCTCTATGGAAACTACCAGTACCCAGCAGCCTGAATGATAGGAATTGCTCAAATCCTTTTAGGGGAAAGATTAGGATGCTCTGTAATTAGCATATGAACTATATGAAAGTAATGGTTCCATTTTTCTTATCACAAATTCTGAAAATAATAAAGTTGCATTATTCTAGCAAAACAGACAAAAGGTTAAATGGAATCCTTTATCATGTTTCACACAATGGATTACAGAATGGCATAAATAAAAATTATTAAACTATGTGAAAAGTTACTTATTCTCCCTGAAGGCATTTGAGTGCTTTGATGTAGCAGCCTCCATAATTATCATACCCTTCTCCACGTCAGGCTGTATATCCCACACTAAATGAGAACACCCACTCCATGCACTCATTCAAGTTTGGGGATGGCTTAGTAATCAGATGGCTTCCTCAAGGGTTGATTTTTTTGTGTGTGTATGAGATCCTCGGGATTGAATCCAGGGCTTTAACCATGAGCTACATGCCCAGCCCTTTTTTTTACTTTTAGGCAGGGTCTCACTAAGTTGCCCAGGCTGGGCTTGAACCTGGAATCCTCCTACCTTAGTCTCCTAGAGTGCCAGGATTACAGACGTGCACCACCACACCCAGCTCTAGTTTCCTGAATTGTTTTCCAAATATGTGGGCCTAAGTAAACTATCAAATTGAAAAGGTCTAATAACAAATCTTAGATTTGTCCAAGAGTGAGTCATTTAGGTCAGCATGCTTCTTTGTCTAAGATAAGACACTTACCTGCAAATTGTAGTCTTGCAGAATTTTTACTAAGGAATCTCTTAGATTGGGAATCTCCATTCCTTCCTTAATTCGGTGAATCAGTAGAATCGGGTCAACATGTGTGCCAATGTTGTTTAACAAGCCAGTAATAAATGCTATAAAATAACACAGAAGACAACTGACATATAAGTGATGTTATAATACAAGGTAGGATTGTTATGTGTCCCCATTTTACACTTAAGGGAGATGGGATGTCTGATTAACCCAGAGTCACAAAGCTGGTAAGCAATGAGCCCACATTCAAAACCAGGTCATACTCATAATAAATCCACAATGGGTTCTAACTGTGTCCATTTGGTATTAGGAGTTTAGACCACTACTTCTTTAGGCCAAATTATATTCCTTGTATTTCAAAAGATTAAGTCATTGCAGCCAATTTCAGATGAAAGTATTTGAACATGAAGCCTACCTACCAAAGGAGGTAGAGGAGATTAAACCTCAAATACTAACCTGTCAATCATTTCTGCATCTTCAAAAAAGAGTCCGTGGGTTACTGTTGGGAGACTGCTTTGGTTTCTAAACTATAGCTCAATGCAGATGGTAAACCAGAGGGCCAACAAATATAAACTCCTGGGGCTCCACTGATAAAATGGAGCAGGAAAGAGAGACTAAAGACTGTACTGCAAACACTCAATTATGTTTCCATAATGAGATACAAAATGCACTGGTATACAAATGAAAAACAAAACCAAGCCAACCCAAATAGGTGACATTCATTCAATGTGGTTGTCACAGACAATATGTCTCATGGGGCACGCTTAATAAGCTCTGCACCCACCTGCTCTGTCACAATCAGTAGCCCAGCGAGGAGACACCAGCCCTTTCTGCCCCGAAGAGAACAAGAAACCTTACAACAGGCCTGGCCTATTTTTATTGTAGATACTTCACTATATTTTTAACTCAGTATCTCCTGGGATAAATCTTACTCTGCATGTAACTGGCTATACTGAGAGAAAACATTACAATCACAGGTGGCTTCTCTGCTTACGTGGTTTGTCAATGGAATATAAAATGAGATCCTCCCAGAGTTCTCCATCATCTTGCTCTTTGGCAAATTCAATTGCTTTATCCACATCATGCAACTCCTCCATGATCATCTTCAGGGCACTTCGGCTGTTGCCCATCCGGCCTAGGTGGGGCAGAGAGTCAGAAAGGCATCATTTATTTACGGTGAGAAATCCCTGGGATGTTCTACTAATGCCATCGCTGTATACAAGAGTTAACAAAAATGTTAGTAGCTATATGGTCATGGCAAGTAACTAACAGGTAAAGCTGGTCTTTAAGCCCAGGTCTGCTGGATTCTGCCTTCCGTTCCACATACCTGTATTTCCTTTGGAAGTTACTGTCTTCAGATTTGGTGTGGTTAAGCCTTTTAGAGGCCTAGAAAAACATTCTACCTCTCTAAGGTGGCTTTGCATGTCGCTCTTCTGATGCAACTGCAAACTTGATTGTCAGTGGGCTCCCTCATTTCTTTTTTTGGTACCAGAGATTGAACTCGGGTCCTTGAGCTTGCAAGGCAGGCCACCGAACTGCTGAGCTAAATCCCCGGCCCTCCCTCATTTCTTCTTCAGGGGAAAGCCTGGCAAAACCCTTCATGAGATGAATTATTTACCACCTATGCTTCTATTAGCTAGCTATCTTTACACATTGTGCTCATTGATCCACTGACATTCCAATACTTTTATTTAATTTCCATGAGCTTTTGTCATGGTTCATACTTTAGAAAGCCTGCTATGGGCTGTCTCCTTACCCCTGTCTCCTGTTGCACAGGGACTGGGAAAGGATCTTGAATGCTCCTCATGGTGGGTTACTACTGTCCAGAGTAACATCTGGCTTGTGGAAAAAAGGCACTGCACTTGGTATCCCTTTGGTTAGCATTGTATTTTTCTTACAAGCGCCATTCCCAGACAGCTTATGTTTTTAAAAAATAGTTATTTATGTGTAGAGGATTTACAAATGTTTATACAACTAGACACAGCTATCTTTATAAGTCATCTGCTTCTAAGACAGTCTGGCATGACAAAAATGTACTCCAGCAGATTATTTCTTGGGGGAACATTGCAAAAAGTAAATGAACTACTTGAAGTTGTAAATTGCAACCCCCTAAAGTAACTAAATGTAGCCCCATTTAACTAAGTGTCCCTTTCTCCTAAGGTAAAGATAGGTACCATAGTTGGACAGTCCCAGGTGTGCTGCTAAGCACACATACACTGCATATGCCTAAGTAGGAAAAGAAGATTTGGAAAATTTTCAACAGGGCCAAAGGAGCAAATGACGGTGTTATATAAAAGAAGGTGCGACATGGGACAATCCTAGTGGGGAAGTGACCCTGGAGAAACAGCTCACAGAAACTTTTTGCTCTATGTCACTAACACCTGTTCTCCTCACAGCATCTTCAGGAAACCCTTCATTGCTCTGATGAACTGTGGTGAAACATGAAAAGGAGTTCTGGGTCTTGCAATGCCTGGTCCAGAAACGATGACACATATCAGGGCAGGAACCAGAAGACCAGAGGCAACTAGTGACCACATTGTATTAACTAGTGACCACAATGTATTAAAAAGTTGTCTCTCTTCAAAACTCCACATTTAATTCTCTTTCCTCCAGTTATGCATGTATAAGTTTTGAAAATGATTATTTTCTACCAATATGATGGTACTATAAGCTGATTATAATTTTAAGAAAACTAGTTCTAACCTGTTGTGTGATAGCTTGATTTTGTTTCTTGTGTTTATTACATCGCTAGTACATTCAACAATATTTACTCAATAACCCTTCTCTATTGTGCTATGACTTTTTTTCGCATATTAATCTTTTCATATGTTAAATTCTTTTCACATATGAGACTTGTACAAAATGGGCTTGAAATTATGTTACTTTATTCTGAAACCTACATCCTTATCCTTATACAATCCCCATCAGGTTGTCACACTCTTTCTTTGTTTATGGGGACCAAAATTGAAAATAAAGCTACTTACTTAGAAGATACACAGTCTCCTCTACAAAGTTTCTCTGTTGACAGATTTCAAGAGCCTTCAAATGAAGCAAGGTAAAAATGTTACTATGTGCAACCAGACAAGAACAAATATTCATAGAGTCACTTAACAAGCTTGAGAATGTTTCCATGTTTTCCTTTAACAACAAAACCAAGCAAAAAAGATAAATCTCCTTGGCTCTTGCTGCTAGCCATGCTCATTTGCCTCTCAGAGAGTTACTGAACCCCAAACCCTTTAACTGATAACATATTTACAGCAACACAGAACACATTAAATGATCAAAGGCAGAAAATAAGATGCTGCGAGGAAGTGCTTTTCCTGCTCAGCTTTTTCTTCATGTTACTTTAGGTTTCTTTAGAGCACTGCTTCTCATCAAGTGTTGTCATTTGTTTAAAATGTTTCCTTCCCTTACAACATAAGCTCCAAGAGAGGAGTGCTGTTCACAGTAACATTTTCCTGATACCAAGCAGGGCCATCTGCTCTACTGTAGGCTTAAGTTGCAGGCACGCATGAGTGAGTGAATAAGTCAGTCAGTCAATCAATCATTCAATCTAATGGGAATATTTCTGTTGCCAGCTCACAGGCTGTGAGAACTCTGTTCATGGATCTTTCAAAAGCAAGACGGAAAATGGATCTGATCATCATGAAGGATCAAGAGAAGATGGAATAAAGAAATGAGAAGTAGGCCAATGAGTTGTCCCATGGGTGTAAAAGAGGGCACCGTGTGTGTGTGTGTTGGTAACTCAGTGCCTCTGAACAAACTGATGCTTATTTACTATGTGCTCTGTTCTAGAGGATCAGGCTGCACAGAGATATGAAGGTGACAGCAATAATAAAAACGGGACGACGATGGGTGAGTAGAGAACAAGAGGCGCTGAGGAGGGGCAGAGGCAGCCTGAGTCCACCCAGGGGTGGTGGGGAGGGTGACAGAGATGTGGCCACACATTGTTCCACAATCAGCAGAACACAAGGGATGGCACCGAAAAGGAACTCACATCCTCCTGTAGGAAGCTCCCTTCTCAGAGAAGAGATGGAATGCGAACTGGATGCCATCCCATGGGACAGAGGACCTCGCAGCCCCTCTTCATGACTTCTTAGGGCCAAGCATCTTCACAGTGAGCCACGGCTCCACCCTGCATTCCCCAACAGTGGCGTGAGTCCCGGCCTGCCCTCTCCTGCCTCCGGGACACAGCTTCGTTACCAGCCTTCATCACGCAGTGACTTGCTGAATTTCCCTCCACTGGGACTGCGTACACACTGAGCCTGTGCTTTGCATCATGCGTGGCCCACAGTAGGTGTGCAACAATAACAATTCTTTTTTATTTTTGGTTTTTTGAGACACTGTCTCACTATGTAGGTTGAGACTGACGTGGAACTTTCTATGTAGCCCAGGCTGGTCTAGAACTCACAGTGATCCTCCTGCCTCAGCCTCCCGAGTGCTGGCATTACAGGTGTGCATCACCATGCCCAGCAACAAGTCTTTCCCTCTTTAATGAATGGTCAGTAAAGATTTTTAGAGCAAGTTGCCTATTACATATTGAGGAGTAGTCACTTAAAAACTAGCCAAGGTGGTTTTAAAAACAAGAATCAAAAAGAACAGCTCAAGTTAATTAGCTCTGCTCAGTGATCTATCTTGGGAAATAACAGCAGGAACTAACTGGTTTTGGCATTTTGATTTTTGACTTAAAATTCTTCCGGGAGGATATGTATTTCAAACTAGCTACAGGGCAGGAAAAAGGCTGATCACAGATCAGTGTAGCAGAAAAGGAAAAAAAAAAAGCAAGCATTTCGTACGGAACCAGGAGCATTTTAAGGTCCACACATCATTTAGATAAGAAAGAATATCTGAAGGTCACAAGGAGGAAGAAACACATCACTTGATGACTCACAAGATACTTTTAAACATCAGGTGGTAGAAACAGGGTGAAGAGACACCTACAGAATGGGAAAAAAATTTTGCCAGCTACTCCTCAAAGAACTGCTATCTAGAATATATAAAGATCTCAAAAAAAATTAGATCCCACCAAATTTAAAAAATGGGCACCTGAAATGAATACAACATTTTTCAGATGAGCAAGTACCAATAGACAGTAAGTACATTTAAAAATGTTCAACATTTCTGGCCATTCGAGAAATGCAAATTAACATTTAGTTTCCATCTTACTTAAGAAAGAACAGCTATCATCAAGAAATCTACCAAAATGCTGGTGAAGCTGCAGGGAAAAAAGGAACCCTTCTTCCTTGTTAGTGGGAATGTAAAGTGGTACAATCACTATGAAAAACAGAATGTAGATTCCTCAAAAAACTGAAACCAGAAATTCCATTTGACCCAGCTATTCTCCTTCTGGTCATCTGCCCCAAATACTTAAAGACATCATGTCACAGTGATATATGCATCTCCATGTTTATAGCAGCACAATTCACAATAGCTAAACCTTGGAAGCAGCCTACATCCATCAACGAATGAATAGATAAAGTAAATGTGGTATTTATACACTATGGAGTACAACTCTGCCACAGAAAATGACAAAATCGAGTCACTGGTAAGCAAACAGATGCACCTTGTGACTACAATCTTAAGTGAAGTAAATAAGACACATGAGCTTAAATATTGCATGGTTCTCTTATGTAAGAAATCCAACATACAAAGTGCAAAATAAATACAGACAACAGGAAAAAAGAGAAAGTTATTGCTACCCTGCATGGACAATGTATCCTAAAGTGTACCTTTAGCATAATTGTCTCATGTGGTTTTATGTTTTTTGGCCTATTAGTCTGGCTCTTAATCTGTTTTACAATAATTCAGCAAGGACTTATAAACTAAATGGATATGGTGCTGGTAAAAAATTTTCAAAAAAAGGACTGAAGAAAAGGAACCAAATGTTAGGTAATGTGCCACTTCCCCACAACGTATGTAATCATTATGTATGGCAATCGTACTAATACAAATAAAAAAAAAAAAAAACACCTTAAAATTAGGTGGCAGAGAGTTCGCTATTCTCCGCTTTCCCCCCATAACAGATTCGAGGCAGGTGTGTGACTTGAGAAACACAAACCCATCTCACAGCCACCCCAGCAGAGGGGAGCTGAGTGACCCAGGTCCAAGGAGCTGTGGGAGAGAACAGGGCAGCCTCTGGTAGCCCATGGGTAGTCAGTACGTCCAGAAACAGTCTGGCACCAGCACAGGTCTTGAGGCCGAGCGCCCACGAGCTGAGGAAGCAAGACAGCCATCTCTCCGACCAGGCAGCAGGCTGCCCTCCCTCCCATGAGGCCGAGAACTACAGGGATGCACTGCTGAGCTATGATTCTCACAACTCCCACTTGGAGCCGAACCTAGTCCCAGCGAGCACAGCACCCTCTGCTCTCTCACTTGCCTTTGTCACTGCAAACGCTGGTGGCGTCTTACCCATGCTACACTGCAGCAGTGATCTTAGGAAAGGCAAGTGGAAGCAGCACTCTGGGAGGTTGAGGTAGGAAGATCACAAGTTTGAGCCCAGCCGGGGCAACTTAGTAGAGACCCTGCCTCAAAATTTTAAAAAAAGGGTAGGGGGATGCAGCTCTGTGCAAAAGCCCTAGGTACAAAGGTCCTGGGTTCAATCCACAGTATTGCAAAAAGCAAAACACCCAAAACCAAAACCAAACAAAAAAAGGAAAGAAAAAGGGCAAAAAACCTGATGTCAGAAGACCTGGGTTATAGCTTAACATGGGTGACTGTGTCATACATACACAGAATGCCGATGCAACTGGACAGGACGAATGTATACAGATAGTCTCAGTAACAGTGGGTATACTGTTCAAAAGATTTGTATTAAAAGGTATCCACAAATCACTTTTATGCTTGGAAATTCAAACACCACTTAAAAATGCAAAGAACTCCCAACTCTTCCTGGGCACAGGAGAATGCATGAGAACACGCTTGCTTCAAACTGGAAAAGAGTTTGTAGCCCTGTGCCTCACGAGACTTGTCCAAGAAAGCAGCCACCTGCCCTTTAAATGAAGCTATTTGAATTTACACTGATTAAAATTCAGATCCTGGGCTGCACCAGCCACACTTCAAATATTCAGCTGTGATGTGGGGACAGTGCCGCCCCTGCTGGAGAGAGCAGGTTTCCAGAGAGAACTGTACAGGACGGTGACACAGGCGCTCTCGTATGGCCTAACACACGTGAGACCCCAGGGAAGGGTCTGCAAACAAGAGGGGGGCATCATCCAGTGCACAGCGGGTGCGAGGCTCCGAAATCTGAATTTCATAGATTATTAAGTGTTTATGAGTGGATTCAAACAGGATTTTCCATCATCCCCCTCACAGCTGAGAAAGTAGAGACTAAGTATCTAGATAATGTGAGTAAAGTATAAAAATGAAATATTTCTAGTACACAGAATGTTTCTGCTATTTGACACACTAACATGAATATGGCAAAAAAGTGTGATTCCTTATTTTAGATTTCTGAATGTACTTGGACCACAGTGCTCTCTCTAGAGGAAAGAAGAGGGAGGGCTGGGGATGTAGTCAGTGTGCTGCATCTGCCTGGCAAGCACAAGGTCCTGAGTTTATTTCTTGGTACAGGGGTGGGGGTCCGAGATTATTAAAGCAGACACACACATATGGAAAAAGCACAGTGGCAGAATGAAAAAGCAGAATGACAGGAGTTGAACAAAAAAATGATGCTAACTACTACTTTAATGGTCCTTTTCCTGATTTAGCATTAAGTTAAGAGAACTCTGAGGGTAACTAACAAAAACCTTTCAAGTGTAAATTAAAGATTGATTTCTACCCAATCCCAACACTGTCATCTTTGAACCAATCTTTACATTTTTTTACTTAGTCTATAAACTTTGCCTTTCCCAACTCCATTCGTCTGAACTTAAACACTGCCACCTTGTGAGTGCTGTTAGGTATGAAACATTCAGGTACAGATCTGCCAAACCTAAAGAGCTGATGCCCTCCCTTCACTACTCTTAGGCACCATCGAATTAGATTTGCAAAAGGCAGACTAGTGTTTGATGAACACGTCTGGAAATTACTGAAAAAAGACACTTTAACAGTTTAAAAAACTATTTTTCATGCTTCCAGTAGTTAAGGAATGGCTTAGTTATTTTTAAAATTAACATTTTAAACCCTAAAAAACGCTTCAGACCACAGTGGAAAGACTCCTGCTATCACTTGAGCTGAGTCCCTAGACCCTGGACCCTTTGCTCCAGCTAAGCCCACTGAAGAAATGCGTAAGCCCCTCGCTAAAACCTCACTTGCCAGGACTCCGTGCTCATCCCTGGCCTGGCTGAGCTGCCTGCTTCCTGACAGGGACACGGGAACGAGGTGGAAGACAAGCAGGACAAACAGCTCTGCTGCTGTCCTGTACCTGTGGGTGGCCCCCGTCTTACCTTCTCCAGTGGGCAGTGCGTGCTGTCTCGGAGAAACGGCAGCAAGTTGGGCCGATCATACTCAGCATAGAGACTGATCTGCTTCTCATGGTAGCGTTGCCCCTTGTGATGGTCTCTCTTGAAGAGCTTGTGCAAATACTGCATGGAACATAGATGAGTGGTGAGCACTGAAATAAGAAAAGCGCAATGCCTAATCTGCACTGCCACACTCAGTTGTGAACAGCTCTCGAGTAGAAGGGGACAAGAGGTGGGCAGAGAAAACCTCCAGGTGGTGGAGGAGCAGGAAGGAGATTCCCGAGTGACCTGGCTCTTCCCCCAACTGGGTGACCTCAGGCAAGTCACTACCCTCTCTGGGATGCGGTTTCTTTACCTACAGAAGTGCTCAATGGGTTGTGGTGAGGGTTAAATGAGTTAGCACCTCTAAATCACACCAAGCCACGCCTGGCAGACACCAGGCAAGGTGAAGTGTTAACAAGAGTAGCTGTTGTTACCATCATCTGCGCCACCTTGCAAGTAAAACGCTTGATGAGAGGTCTTCCTACATGACAATTCTCTCCTTTCATGTAAAAGGGAGTAGGTAGAATCAGGGGACAAGAGTATGGTTTTCAGAACTCCAGTGACAGGAGCTAGATCGTCACACACTCTCCATCTCCTCTTTTGCATCTTAGTGAGATCTGTTTGTGATAAAACGTTACCCATATTGGCAACATCAGAAAAATACACCAAACAAAAGTAAAAATCAAGAATACCACGGTTCTGAACTAATTTCCCAAACTGACTCCTAACCCTAACTGAGAAAGTTAGAGAACTTAAAAGAGAGTGAATACTTTCTACTTATTGGTAAGATGAAGTCTATAAATGCAGTGCAGTGCTCAGAAATTAGCTGTCGAAGTTAGAAATGTAAAAAGGCATGTAGTCCAGTGCAGGCAGCCAGGTGTTGTACAGGACACAGAGGGTCAGGCTGGCCTTGATGCCGTGCTGCAGTTGGATTTGTGTGGCTGTATACACCGTGACAAATGTATGTATCTCAGGAAGCCACTCCTTGGCTACCTGTTCACATCTCCCTGAGGCAGGAAAGTAACAGGAGGGAACTCATCTGTTGGGGAAGACCCCCAACCGCTGGCAGTCCACTGGACCTGGGGCAGTGTGTAGGCAGGGACACCTGGTCCCGGAAGCAGGAAGAAAATGGGGAGGGGCGCTGTCACATCTGCTAGCTGACTTGATAGAGGAATGACCTCACCTGGCAGGGAAGACGAGCCATTGCAGTGTGGCCTCTGCACCATTTCACACTGTGCACAGGAAGAAAATGGGGAGGGGCGCTGTCACATCTGCTAGCTGACTTGATAGAGGAATGACCTCACCTGGCAGGGAAGACGAGCCATTGCAGTGTGGCCTCTGCACCATTTCACACTGCCTGACTGTGCTGCCGCCCACACCCCGTCTCGTGGATGAAGCAGGCCAAAAATTACTGCTTTAGAAACAAATTCCCAAGGGGGCCAGCAGAGTGAAGCTATGCTTGGTAAGCAGGTGATCATGAGCTTTTTGATCACACACAATGACTTCTTATAACCCTGAGCAAAAGAGTCCAAAAGTAGTAATCATAAAAAACATACCTCACATTCCATTAAGGGCTTCAAAGTATGAAGAAATTTCTGAATAGAAACTCCCAGGCCTCCGTGCGAGGTGCAAGGGGATGGGCGAAGGCAGATGTCTGCTCACAGTATCTGACACTACTGGTCCTATGGGCATGATCCCAATGTCCACTGAAGCCTTTTCTTAAATGTTTATAGAACCCAGAAAATGTCTCCTACTGCTTTGTGCCTGCAGTGAAGCAATGCATAGCATCCAAGCATCCTCCGAGGGAATCCGCACTAACAGGCTTCAAGGCACAGCCAGCAAGACCATGTGAGAGGTGAGGTCAGCTACAGTGGGGTGAGGGCCCAAATGTGAGGCTCTACACTCCATCTGTGGTACTCTTTGGTGGGAGAACTGGCTACCTGCAGTGCAATACTGGCTTTAGCTACACTTTATGACAGGGCGAAGTTTCATGGTAACTGCAGAGGGAAGGGGCTCACTCTTAGGCATGGTTTGGTAACACAAAAAATGAATGTAACTTTTCAAAATCACAATTTAACTGTCAGTCAAAGTTCAAGTGCCCGCACCGCAACTAACCCCCAGCCTTGGATGTCCCCGGTCTATGCAACATTTCAGTAATTCCACACTACTGTTTGTTGGTCAAATGGCCAACCTGGGTGTTGACCTCTGTAAAGAGTTTCTGTGAAGAATTCTCCCCAACATGGAGAAGCACATCACCCTCTGTTAATGAAAAGTGCTGAAGAGGAGACTAAGGCTCACCACGTGCTGTAACTCTGGTCTGTCTTCTAGTTCTTCTACTACCTTTTTAATCTAGGAGAAAAACAAAATTTTAAAAACAGAGTTGTGAGTACACAAACACAGCTGCAGAACCATCTGACGAACACCTGTCCCTTACAGCTGATGTGGCTCTAGATACTCATTTAGAGACACAATGTTATGGTTTGAACATGTCTTTTTCCCCTCCGAAACTCCTGTTGTCACTCGATCCCCACATGTGACGGTACTGAAGTGGGGGTGGGCCACGACTGCACCGTGGGGGATTAAGGCTGATGTCTTAGAGGTTAAGTCCCATGAGAGTGGGTAGTTACATGGTCTCGCGTGTGACTCTCCAGAGTGCTGCTGACCTCTCCCACGTACCCTTCCTGCCTGTCACCATGTGATGTGCCACACTGCCTTGCCACTCTGGCAGCAAGAACACCGGCATCAGACGAGGCTCTCAGCCTTGAACCAGAACTGTGAGTCAGAATAAAACTCTTTCCTTTATAACCTACCCAGTCTGAGGTATGGAGTTTATTAGCAAGAGAAAATGGACACACACAGAAATAGGAAAAGACACTCACTGAAATTTTATCTTCATTGTCCAAAAGCATGTCAACAGCCTTCTGAAATATAAAAAAACAGCCAGTCATTGAAATCCATTGTGTGAGGACACTAAGACAATGTCATACATACACGACCACAGGTCAAGGTAGAGGGCCTATTTCCCCATTCAGCTTTACAGCGGCCCTTATGGAACATGCTACTGTAGAGGAGCGCATTTTCAAATGTGTCCTCATGCAAGGCCTGTGTGTTCTGCATTCTACTAGATGGTGCCTTGCTGTCATTTAGCAAATACCAAATATCCTAACTACACATATCTCCCTTGAAGTCTCTGGTATCTTCACATGTTCTCCCGTAACTCAGCAGCTATGAAGAGGAGCTCACCACCAACCACAAAAATGTACTTTTCTTCTAACTACCTGAACTGTGACTGAGTCTCCCTGTGATATTTCACAGTCATGAGGAGCTGGTCTCACACGGAGAAAAGGGGATGAGCCAGAAAGAGTAAGTCACCTTTCAAAATGACAGATTGTGGATTTTTAAGATTTACTTTAGCCAACTCTAACATTCATGAAACCCAAAGTAATTTATGACAAGAGGTAGTGGAAAGACACCCTGGCACACAAATACCCACATACTGTTGTTAAAGCTTATTTTTTGTTCTGTGAAACATGGGTCTCTTCTCATGAGAAAACTCTGATTCCTTAACTTTGTTCAAACTCTTGAATAGCAATTAGTTTCCACTCATTCATATTTTTTCTTGTAGCTACATTTAGATACCAGATACTCAATACTAGTCCTGGGGGGAGAATGGATCTGGAGAAAATGTAATTAATTTTTATATAAGTATCTCATTCTCTTAACCATGCTCTGCCGGAGAAGCAGAGCCTCTCTACCAGTACATCATAATGCTTTGGCAATTTGTAGTCCCTAAAGACTTGATTCAGTACTCAACAATCAGTTAAAGCATCTCTGAGAGAAGAGGTAGATCTACCTTCAACCTAAGGTGCCACTAAGTTTGTGGTGACTAATACTGTACATAACACGCCTAATACAGTACAATATAATCGAAACACACACTGATCCTTTCGGAGCTTTTTGAGTTATCTAAAATTTCAATTTTCTCAATAAGGATATATTGTTACATGAAGCCAGCTATTTCTAGCACCAGTACTTAAAATTAGATTCTATTTCACTTACTCATACGCACACACCCACTGGCTTGTTTCACTTTGTAAGAACCACTATGAGCTGTGGAGGCTGCGTCCCTTCATTAGACAAGCAACTTGCTATTCAGATTTGAACTGCAATAAAATGCACATTCCACATTTCCTGGACCAATGGAAACCCCCATTCTGGACCCGTGGAGGTCAAGGGATGTTAACAGCAGTATGTTGACCTAATCCAAAACTTCTAATCTTTCATTCTGGGACACAGATTAAAAGGGTTAAGTGAGCCAAAGCATAGTCCTCATTTCTTTGTTTCTATCAATTATATGAGCTGTTCTACTAAAAAAATTTATACACACACATCTTTAAAAATTCCTCATCAAATTATAATTTCTTTTACTGAATGCCGGCTACCAAATCAACCTAACATCTAGTGTTAGGGTCACAGTGGTCCCGGCATGGTTGGCATGGGGCGATGTTATTTGCTCCTTCACCGGCCCGGCCTTCGGCAGATGTCTAATGGCTGAACACTTGGAAGAGTACAGTAATTCATCAGTACTAATGAGCACATCACCTCCGAATCAAAATCCATTAACAAAACTATCTTGTCCTTGATAGAGCTGAAAAGATTATGCTTGTGGATCAACTGGAAAACGTCCTTATGTCTCAGAGTTAGATAGATCTCCAGAGCATTGCCGTAGTTTTTGTCATAGGTGTACCTGGCAACACGAAAATATATTATTCATCTACAGCTCTAAAATATACACATTATGCTTTATGATATTAAAAACTGAAACCGTTCTTCAGAGAGAAACATTGAGCTTATTTTGAAAAATATTCCTCGTGACTTAACCATACATGACCAATAATTACTTCTCAGAATCTTGCCTTTCATTGAAACAGCATTCATACTATTTATATTTATACTATTCAAGTAATAAAATTTTTCTTTATTAAGGGCTCAATCTTAAGAGTTTTACAGAAATCCATATATCTGACAATGAAGCTATGATCCAAAATGAAGGAAACATTAATTTTAGTAAGAGAAAAAACAGTTCAAATTCTTGTAAAGTTGTTTCAAGGTGACAAACGGGTTATATTCCCAAAACTTATCTGAGACGTATATAAAATTAAAACGTGCTTTTCTATTGAAACACTGTTTTTTCATACTGGTTAAGTCCCTAAGCTGGCTCAGGAAAGCCAATCAAACAGCAGTTATACTGTCTGTTCCTTATTAATAGTGCTGCAGGATGCAAGGGGCACCCAGAACAGCATTTCCAAGAGAAAATGGATGGTATTCTCCTTGGGATGCACAAACATGACTTCCTTCCTCTATGGAAAATCTAACTCAGTCCTGAAACCCAGGCCACTCTGGTGGGACTGTCCCAGTCTGGGACAAAGATGAAGGAAGAAGTGTGTGGAGGCAGGAGGTTGGGGGGCTGAAGTAGGATCTGTCTTCTTAGATAGACCTGCAGGCTACTCTGTGTCCCTCTGGTCTCAGGCTTCTGGAGGGCGTATCTTTTCTTTGAATCATAGGCCTCTGGCACAAAGCCAGATGAAGGTGTCCGATAAATAGTAAATGTACCAATGAAGCTTCTACTTCCTGAGCCCTGACTTGGGGGTCAGTCTCCATGCCTGTGTCTCTGCTGTGACATCTCACTTAAAGCTCAGAATTATCCCATGAGGAATCCTTACCTGTGACCTTATAAATAAGGAGCCTGATGTTTGTAAGATTAAATGACTTCAAGAATAACAGAATTCTGAGCCTGACCACCAGGAAGCTGTTTTGCTTGGAGGTGTGATCCTGGGCACTATAGCAGCCATGGTCCCTTCCTCTCTTGCTCTTTTCCCCACTGTTTCTGGCAGTTAGCAACTAAGCAGCCTTGCTCCACCACGCCCTTCTGCCATGATGTTCCAGCCATGGAACCAGCCGACCATGTGGCCCTGGGTCTAACACCTGGCACCCTGGCCTTCTGTCTCCTAACCACTGCCTCTTCCCTCTTCCAGGAGACACATCACATTTCTAGTTTTACACATTGTCCCCACCTTCTAGTTATTCATTTGAGACTTATGAAAGGTTTTTTATTAAGAGTGAGTATAGGAACATTTGTAAAACTAGGCATTTGGTATTTACCAAAACTAAAGTATGAAACACTTTTCAATGTAGGTTGATTTGCAAAGAGGAAACACTGAAATATACTCACAGTTCTGCCAGGGTTTTAAGTAAAGTCTTGTTCTGACTATCTTTCTTCAGGTGATCTCGAACTGCTTGAACTATTACTGAATTGTTGTACAGATCTCCAGGCCATTCTCGGATCAATGTGGCAAAACCCTAAGCAAAGGGAACAGCAGAAAAGGAAGAACCAGGTGTGATATTATGCCATGTACAGACTGGGTTTTGTCCATGATTCCTGGCCTGTAACCCCTTCTCAAGGAAAGCCACTTGTGATGGCTAAGCTTAATTGTCAACTTGATTGGCTTGGGAGTCACTCCTTGGTTAGTAGAGCTGGGCGCTACTGGGTGGGTTATGGAAGTGTGGCCTTGGGGTCTGTATCTGGCCCCTTCCTCTATGGCACTGCTCCCCTGCTCTGCTTTCTGCTGCCATGAACTAAGCAGCTTCGCTCCACCACACCTTTCTGCCATGATGTTCCTGCCTCAGAGCCAGATGACCATGGACTGAATCCTCTGAAATCATGAACCAAATCCCTCTGCTTTTAGATTGTAGGCATTGGATATTGTGCCCCACTGATGAGAAAGCTGATTAACTCACCATATAAACTTAAATCATGGGCTATAAGACCCTCCTTACTCCAGATGGGCCCTGTCCACACCCCAAGAAAGAATGCTGAAGAAAGTCTGAACAGACAGGCCTTGCTGGGTTTCTACCCCCCACTTTTCTAGCAATCATGCCTATGTAGTGAAATCTCCACAAAACCCCAAAAGGGCAGGTTCAGAGAACTTCCAAATGATCAAAGACAAAAACATTCCTGGAGGAAGGAAGGCCCCCCAAGAGAAGGCATGGAAGCTCTGTGTTCTTCCCATATACCTTGCCCTGTACATCTCGATCTATATCGCCGGGCTGGTAATATCCTCTTTGGTAAGATGGTGTCTGCCTGAGGGTTTTGAGAACCTTGATTTACAGCCAGTTGGTCAGAAGCACAGGGACTTGCAACTTGGGGTCTGCCTTTGGGCTCAGATGCTCTGCCTGGGTTCAGTGTGAGAAATGCCCTGGGTTACAGGACACGATGCCCAGTAGTGCTTGCTTCAGAGTGGATGGTTGCTTTTGGGGGGGCAGACACCCTGCATCTGCTAAAGCCACACAAATCTATGCCCAATGTTGGGAATGAGAATGGAGAGAAAATGGTTTGTTTTTCCAATGCAAAAACAAAATACAATTAGTTTAAACAATGCTTAAAAGTGTTCACGTAAAATAGTGAGCAAAATGATGAAAACTCTGGTCCATAAACATTGTGTCAATTTTCTGACTGTGAATTACAGGGCAGCAAAGGCAGGCATGGATAATCTTACTTACTGATCCTGGGTAATGGCAATACCTATCCCTTTTGTCCATTTTTTGGTACAGGGGGTTGAACTTAGGGCCTTCCAACAGAACTACATTCCTAGCCCCTTTAAAAAAAGATAGGGTCTTGTTAAATTGCCCAGGCTGGGCTTGAACTTGTGTTCCTCCTGTCCAGCCTCCCAGAATGCTCACATTACAGGTGTGCGCTACCACACCCAAGTTATGCCCTTATTTCACAAACTGTACAACTGAGAAAGGCACGCTATTCCTTTCATAAAATGCTTGGATTCACTCTATAATCATCCATCCTGGACCTTTTTTTTTTCTTCTAATGTCATAACTGGGTGACATCTTTGACATATTATCTAAGTTACTTTCATTGCCACCCTCTATGTACATTGGCTCCAGGCATGCAGTTGTGCAATGCACAGCCAGAACAACTGTACATGGCAGCCTTGCTTGGGGAAGAGCTGCTCCCACAATGACATCACCTGGCATCGTCATTCCTTTGTCCTCCTTCCACTCTGGCATCTAACCCTGGTTCATACTGGGACTTAGGACTTCGGCTCGTCTTATCCCTACCTCTGAACCTGGTTATCTCTGGATGTCAAATTTTGTAGTTCAGAGAGAAACTCCAGACCCCCTGACTTGATCCTGTTTCCCTCCTGCAGCTGATTCCCACCCAGTAGCCTAAATAGTAACTGCCTTCCTGATTCCCAACTTTGGTTCTCACATTTTTTAACTCAAAGTACAACAGAGGAATTTCCTTACTGGTCTTTGAGCACTTGTGTGTGGGTGGGGGTGGACATACTCAGAGGCACTAATGAGCAGTAAAAATGTACAATTACTAGAAGAATATTTATATTAAATGACTCCACCAATGCTTTAACGGATTTATTTAGATGTTACTTGTGAGTGAAAAGTCTGGTAAAAGTTGTTTCTGTAAAATATTAGGATTTGGTAGGAAGAAAAATCACCAAAAAAGAATCAGGAACATAGTTTTCCACAAAAGTTTCACCCAAATTGGACCAATGTAACTCCTAGAAAGGATGGCAAGAGACCAAAACTAAAGACCAGAACAACAAATGTATCTCGCATTTGCACTGCAACTAGGCTACTCATTAACATGACTGCAGTTTGACTGGGGAGGGGATTCGATTGGAGCTTCAAAATATTCACGGAACAAAAATGATACCTTGGGGCAAGTCTCTTTTTTTTTTTTACAACTCTGGGCAATGTGTAGGATTAAACATGCTGTGAAGATTGCCACTTCAAGCTGTCAGCAGCTTCGAGACCAGACATAACATTATCGAAGGAAGAAAGTTTCGATTTTCCTTCTTTCCTGTCCACGTAACAGCCTCAACTCAGAGCGAGTTCCAGGCCAGCCTGAAGTACAAAGCGAGGCTGTCTCAAAACACCAAAACCAATCAATGAATCAATCACAGAGATTGTCCCACTTTTAACATGCTTACACATGTCATTACTATTATGGAAGAAAACCTAATTAAAACAATTCTGCTGGGTTATAAATTAATGGACAAAGCTATATGCGTATTGCTTAGAACTTCCATGCAAACAAATCATGAAGCTTCACTGCTCTAAGAAAAGCATATTGTAATGTCTTTTAGGGAAAAAAAGAAAAATGAGAAGTTAGCAGTCCAAAGTGGTACAGTTTGTGGGGTTGTGTGTGGGTAATCTGATCATTAGTGTTCTGTTAGCAGCAAAAAATTCCTCCAACGTGATTTAGAAGTTGTTATGAAACACTGCTGTTTGATTGTGTGACAGTTTAATTCAAAATCAAATACTAAGCTGAGAAGAATGGAAGCTAAACAATATTAATCACTTATAAGACCTTTTTGGGGGTTTTATTACTTATTAAGCTCTTATAATAATAAAAAAATTATTTATAATTTTCCTAATATGACTGACCAGGCAGACACAACATTCAGGAGAAAACATCAAGCTTATGGTTTAAGCCATGCCTGTTTTTTCTTCTTTTTTTGGTACCGGGGATGGAACTCAGGTCTTTGCACTTGTGAGGCACGAGGCAGAACCACTGAGTTTAATCTCTGGCCCTGAATACTTCTTTCTTTCAGACTCTGTCAAAAGTTTCCCAGGTATCATAAGAACCAAAAAGATAACTCTGATAATTTAAGATTTAAAATAATTTAAGAGGTGGCTCATGTGAAAGGATTGTAATAGGATCATAAAAAAGTTCTAGATTTCTTAACATTTCCCATCAAGAACAAGCAAATATGACCATGTTAGAGTACCATACCTCATAATCACTTTCCAAATATTCATGTAAGATCATTTCATAGATGAGTGGTTTCAGAACTGGATCTCCTCTTGGCAAATAAGGACTAATAGCCTGTGGAAGGAAAAGGAAAATGAAAATGGAATCCTCTACAAATTGGTAAAACAGCCTGTAATCCCAGCTACTTGGGAGGCTGAAGCAGGAAGAACACAAGTTCAAGGCCACTCTGGACAACTTAGTGAGACCCTATTTAACAACAACATCCATGAAACAAGAAGTGGCAAAACAAAAACTGTGTTCCAGTTATGCACAAAATATAAAAGTTTATGATTACCTTAAAAATTTAAGGCAACACAGTACTTGGAAAATTATTCTAAAAAGATTTAGATAAATTCTACTTTCTAATCACAAATTACAATAAATTTCCAGAAGTATAAAAGATTGGGCTGGGGATTCGGCTCAGTGGTGCTGCTGCCTGCTTTGCAAGTAAGTTCAAGGACCCGAGTTTGATCCCCAGTACCCCCCTAAAAGTATAAAAGATTATAAATGACAATTTCTTACATAATCAAAGGGTGTAGTTCATATCTATTCGGTAAGTGTATCGATCTTTTAACACACAATCATCTTTTGAAATGGGGAAAGACATACCTTGCATCTTAGACGTTTTCCAAATACTGTTCAACTTTCCTCTGAAACCCTGCGTATGATCTCTGGGCTTATACTGAGGGCATCAGGGGGGTGACCCTCACCAAGGGGGTCACAACCCCAGAGGCAAGCAATGCAGAGACTCAGATAACACAGACAGTGTGTGGTGAGTGTCATAAGAGCAGGTGCAATACAGTGCTTTGAGCGCGTGGAAGAACTGAATTTTACCTCGGGGTTGAAGCCAGGGCCTTTGGCAGGCTAAACAAGCATCTCCCATGGAGACACACCCCACCCTGCAGAGGAGAATCTTGCCTACCAAGGCCCTAATCTGTTAAACAAGAAAGGAAGAGAAAGGCATTAGGCAGGGCAGCAGCAGGGGCAAAGACAGGAAGCCATGAACATGCTGCTTCTGTGTTCGGGGATCAGAGATTCCGGATGGAGGTCACGGAAGGGGAGGAGGCTACAGAGGAAGAGAGCCAGGGATCACAGAGGAATTTCAATTTTATTCTACAGGCAGGAGGAAAGCAACAGATAACAGGGAAGTAGGAGTTCGGACTCATTTTTCGAACAGGTAACTTCAGCTAGGGTTGCTCCTAGATTTATCAGAAGGCCCAGGTAGTGGCCCTAGAGAGCTAAGGCAGTAAGGGGTGTGTGGATGGGTAAAGGGATCCAAAATGATCAAGATACATTATAAACGCACACCAATTCCCCAAAGGAACATAGCTACTATGTACTGTAGACACTGATTACAAAAGAGAGGGCAACAACACTGGGGGTGCAAATAGAGAGGCCCAACTGGTATCAACATCATCAGAGCAACAAGAACTGAGGTTAAAAGAAATGGTGAGGTGAGTCTCCTTTCCTCATCATGAGCAGTGACTGAGCTGTAATCATGGGAAAATGGATATGTTATGTGTTAGAAACACAAACTCAAAGGAGAATGATCAAACTGGGGAAAGAAACAGATATACAATAATTTGCATTATCATGGCATCAGTGATATACACAAACAGCAACAGCCACAGTGTACAAATGAAGAGGTGTCTGGAACGTGTAGCCATCAGGTAAACAGGGCCACAAAACTAGATAAAAACCTTCCAGCAATAGTCCCACAAACCCAAAGAGAACAACTGGGACTTTTAATAAAGCAGATTCAAGTCTGACCCCAGCCTGGGCAATTTAGGGACTTGGTGAAACCATCTTTCAAAGAAAAGGTGAGGAACCAGGTATGGCAGTGCTCCCCTGTAATCCCAGCACTCTCTAGGAGGCTGAGGCAGGAGGACTACAAGTTTAAGTCCAGCCTGGGCAACTTAATGAGACTCTTTCAAATAAACACATAAATGAAAAGGGCTGGAGATGCAGCTCAGTTTAATCCCCAGTACCATCCCCTACTCAAAAGTACATTCATGATTCAAAGAAAACACTCAAAATGCTCACAAATACTAAAAATTATTAAAATATATTTTCAACAAACACAGGAATTCTTACTTGAGTGATTGGAACATTGGGCACTGTTTAAAGATTTAAAAATAAAACAACAAAATTTATTATAGAACCACAAGGTCAAATTTCACTTTCTAGTAGATAAATTATTGTTTGAAAAATACATTAATTCTTCAGTAAAAAAAAAAATTTTGTACCAGGAACTGAACTCAGGACCTTGCACTTACGAGGCAGGCAGCAGCACCACTAAGCTAAATCCCCAGCCCTCTTCAGTAAATCTGAAAAACATCTTATGTTTTACAATCCATGTATGAATTAAATTGTACCTGTTTTCCAAAGTCATTTTTAAAAAAAGAACATGAAAACCTTATCTAAATCCAGAAAGGAGTGCAGAGGTAAAAACTGAACATAAGACAAATGTAATATATTAGATACACATATAAATTATGCACTAGGTTGTTATGGCTTATGGCTAGATGTCCCCTCACAAAGCCTCATGCAGTCATCGTGGGGCTTTTCAGTGGTGGCTGGGTCTAGAATGTATGACACTGGGACTGATGCATGGTGCAATGCGAGGATTAGGGTGTGAATGCTACCAATCCTAAGGCGAGTAGCCTGGACAAGATATCAGGGAAAAAGAGGCTTGCCACGTGTTCCTTGCTTGCTTTGCTGTCTCCTGCCCACCCTGAACTGTTTCTCCTCTGTGATGCCTGACTGCCATGTGCCATTCTGTTTAGGAGCCAGCCAGCTATGGACTGAAACCTCTACAAACTGTGAGTCAAACAGCCTTTCCTCCTTTAACTTTGGCTGAGTATTTTGTCAATGAGAAAAGTAACTAAGACATAGGTTTATAATTTGAAACTAGTTTCTAAAAGTTTGATTTTTTTTTTCTTTCACTGGAATACTTCCCAATAAATACCAGTATCTTTATTTCCATCTAAATATAACACATGCAAACATTGAGAGTTAAAAATAAAGCTCTGCTTACCTTAAGCTGTCCGATTTCTTTAAATTTATAAACTTCACATTCCCAGAGTGCTGCATTTTTCCCAAGAATTTTCTGGCATTTGCTGGCAGTAAAAATATCCACGGAGAAAGAAAGTATTTTTAAGAAAAACAGAATAAATGGATATTTTCCCTAGTAGTTTTGATCTCTCTTCACAGAGTTCCAGCAAATTTCTATTTTGTGCTAATGTACATAATAGTAGTTCTGAGGACAAAACTTATCACAATTATATGGAATATTTACAATGATGAGACTCCTTCAGAAGACTACCACTACGGGTTTTCCTAATTTTCCTGCTCTCAGCTTCCCGTTTATCCAACTGATCATTGCTGGTTTTGGGTCTTTCTTGACTTGAAAACTCACCATACCCAAAAGAGCTCAGCCCTTTCCTGAGTGGTTTTAAATAATAGGCTACACGAGGAAGGAGCAGAGCTGGCCCCAGAGAGAAGGCATGGCAGCTACAACCACCAGAAAAGGGCAGCACCCTGGGAGGATGAGGTGGGAAGACTACAAGAGTGTGCAATGTTACAGCTTGTGTTCAGATGTTCCCACAAAGCCTCATTTGAATGAGGTGGGGCTATTTGGGAGGTGGCTGAATCTACAGTGTGATTGATTCATGGTGTAGTGCTAGGCCCAAGAGCACTAGGATTAAGGGTTTGAGTGCTACCTGCCCTAAGTAGTCCGAATAAGATAAAAAGGGCAGGAAGACATTGTTAAACTCTCGCTTTTTTGCTGCTGCCATCAACTGTTGCTCTGCTAGCATCCTGCCTGGGAGCCAGCTGATTATGGACTGAAGCCTCTAAGAACTGTAATTTCCCTTTAACTTTGGATGCTGGGTATTTTGTCTCAGCAACAGAGAAAAGTAACTAATACCTATTAGTGACTATTATTTCATAATAGTTCTCACTGATACCACTGAGAATAAATAATGAAGGACCAGAGTAGTTTTTCCTTGCTTCAAAGTATTTAAGTAATTCAACTAGCTGGGTCACACAGAATTGCTTTTTTCACTGTTTTGCATGCCATTACTGTCCTGGAGTACCATAATACCATTTTCTTATAATTTATTGCCTGGCTTTTAAATAAAAAATGGCAATAAAACATTTAGTTCATACAAAAAAATATTACATCAGTAATTTGGTTCAGTGGGATCTCTGTTTCACAGATTGGAGGAACAAACTGAGTCCTCTACAGTGAGACTCCTATAACACACATGTGTAAGAAAATGACTGGATTTGCAGCACTCTGGCAGGCTGAGGTGGGAAGACTACAAGTTCAAGCCCAGCCTGGCAAAGTTAGTAAGACCTTGTCTCAAAATAAAAAAATAAAAAAGATGTCTGGGGATGTAGCCCAGTACAAAGACCCACTCTTCAATCCTCAGTACAAAAAAAAAAAGATACTGAGATGTGTGAGATGAATTACTTCCATTAAATACAGGTTACATAAAACAACAACAAAAAAATAATTTGATCGAATCGATTCAAATTGGTTGGCTTTTGTATTCCTTTTAACTGGTGAGTAAAATACCTATCCCACCCTAGATTGAGACCTTAAAATTTTTTATTGTTTTTATTGAAAATAAATGTGTTGAAATTCAAAGACTAAAAACAAACAAACAAACAATCAAACAAACAAATAGTAGGCTAAAAAACCCAACTACAGGAAATAAGCACCCTAACCTAGTGTCCAATCTGGAGGACTGTACATGTATGAATGAAATGTTAAACACATTTTTCTTAAATGATCTCAGAGGGCAAAGGTAGGCCTGAAGGCCACATTTCAGGATGGCCACACAGTCATGCAGATGGGTGGGCTGTGCACAGCTCCAGTGGGGACCTCACATGAAACACAGGACCACTGTATTTTGTCCACCACAGCCCCCTTTCAACTTGGGTGTGACCATTTCCATGTCCCTGCAGCTCTCCTGTTGGGAAACAAGTCTCCCCACAGTGTGAGGAGAGGCATTTCTTTTCAGACCACTTCCAGAAGAAGCTTGCATGTAAACAGCCCTGGACATCAGAGGACATAACCAGATCTGTGTGTGGAGCACAGGGCAGGCTGCTTACTATCCAGTCCGAGGAAGGTACTATTGGCTTCTAGGCAGCCCATTAAAGAAGACACCTCAAGCTCAGGTTCCACTCCTGTAACCAGGTCCCCTGCCCTGTGTCATGCTGTGAGCACTGAGGCTGGGGATCTGGGCTGCACGCTGACACTCTGGTCACCACGTGTGTCATGCTAGTGCTCTGGCCACCACACCTGCTGCATAGTGCTTTAGCTCTGAACTCAAAGTCCCAACTCTTCTGCAGCCTCATGAAACTGGCAGGCTAACTTGATAGCTTGTAGGAGAGAAATCTCAGAGCCTTCATGGTTCTTGACACTTCTCTCTTTAAATAATGAGAAAAACAATTCTTCTTTGGTGAACGTGAGACAGTAGTTACAGAAATAATGTAAGAGTTTGTGGTTGAAACCACAAATATGCACAAGTTACCCTTGTTAGAAAGATGGAGGAAAAGCCAAGAAAACATATGCAAATTACAAAGAATTGGTTTTTGCTGTTGTTAATATTGGCCAATGCTGTTTATATTAACAAGTAATCATGACAATATTTTTATTACCGTGCTGCTATGTCATATTCTCCCTTTTCCACCAGGTGATTTATATACGCCAAGCCAATATCCTAAGGAAAACCAGACAAAAGAATTTCATGATTCAAGGAACAACTGGGAAGCTGAGTTGTGATTTCTGAGCAGCTGTGACGTTAGAGTCTCATTCATCCCACTGACCACAACCTGTTGATAGCTTAGTCTGCTGCACATGATCATGCTCAGTTCTTCCTTTAGCATCTTCATATTTAAATGCATCTGCTTTTCCATACATTTTAAGATTCACAGTTCTTGAACAATAAGATGTTACTGTAAAGGATTACGTCTGTTGTAAGAGATTTTCAAATCTGTGATATTCAGATAGAAAATTCTGTTTCCTGAGCCCTTATCTACAAAATGATAGCTACCTGACTCTTTTGTCCCAAGACTGAAGATGTATTATAAGAAAAATGAAATGACAGGCCTTCATATTAAAGGGAAATAGGAAATATTAATGTGAAAATGAACTTAGAAAAACAAGTAATTCAAACCCATAAATTTGCAAGTGAAGAAACTGGGCTGGAAGCAGGGAACTGACTAGCTTCAGAGGATTTGTGTTTATTCACCCATTCCCCATTGGCATTGAAAGGATCTGTGGTGGTCAGTATCCCCCAAAACACAAGAGGTCAGACTGAGCCCTCCGGGACTCTCCTTATGAAATACTATTTCCACCTAAAAGCATTTTCATGAGAAGCTTAAACTCAGAATACAAAAAAAACCTTGGATTTTATCTTTTATTTTATGCACAGAACAATGTATGTGGAGTGTCTTCCTGGATATGGGAAAAGGCTCTCTCCATACATAGTACGAGATTGCACTGTGTAAGAAATCTGTGCATCAGAGCAGGCTCATTTCAGTGGAGGAAAACACCCAATTTTTAATTCATTTTTTTCTTTATTGAGTTCTATGTAAGAAATCATATCTGAAATCTACCAGAACCTGAACAAAGACAGGGTGCCTCACTCCCTTATTTGAAAACCAGCCATGTACTACAGTATCTGTGGTGGGTCTGTCCTCCCTCCTTGTTGTGTAGCTCATTTTGTGATCCTCCTCTTTGCACACTTTTCCATCAATTTGGTTTTCCATCTCTTCCCTTGGCACAAGCATGTTTAAGTCTCTCCTACACTAAGTACAGATCAACCACCATGCCAGGATGCCACAGCCACCAGCTTAGCTTCAATCTTCTGTGGCTTCTACACACAGCTATTCCGATCATCTATCAACTCTATAATTTTCTACTTGCTTTTCACTCACTACAACATGTAGAACATAAATAATACATAAACAGAAAATGTTCTACTATCTTATTAGAAAACCTGGTGTACCCCTGAGCTTCTCTGGGTTTTTAGACCTGCTTGATCCAACAATGTAAGCATTCTGCTCTTTAACTGAATACTCTCTCAGCTCCCATGACACAACCTTCCCTGGGCCCATACAAATCTGTTATCCGCATCATTTCTTGAATGACAGCATACCTCGGGTTCCTTTGTTCTCTAATATTAAGTGCCTGGCCCGGGCATGAAGATCCAAACTGAAGTGCTCCACCAACATTTGTTTGCAGGTAACACTACTGAATCTATTTTGAATCAAATTCTTTCTTGGGCTCCACCAGGACATCTCACAGGACATCCCCAGCCTTCCTGACTCTCCATGCAGTCTCAACCCGCACTGTCAAGAAACCGCCCCGCCAACCTTCACCTCAGCCAGGCTACCTCAGAATCTCAACACAGAGACATCTGAAATGGAAGTGAGAGCAGAAAATTCTACAGTTTCCAATGGAACTGGGCTCCTAATGGCACCTGGCCCTTTGGGAGCTGGATATTTAGCCCCCAGATGGCCCCTGTGCCAGGCAAGGAGACCTCACCCTTCCCCTCTAAGTCCTTCACACACATTACACCAAGGGCTGCCATATTTCTCTTCCATTTTTGAAGAATTCTTGTGTGTTCTCCAAAACTTTGAGAGAAGAGTCAAGGATGCTCTGACTTTCACTCAGCTCCATTCCTACATTACTGGGCTTTGTGCACTCTGGGAATTGGGGCTACTATGTGGAGTTCTGTATAGGGGTTTGGAGTGGGGAACCCACAGGAAAAGGAAGCTGAGCTGAAACCCAGTCATACGTTTCCAGTTTTCATCTGTAAATAAGGGCACTATGCTAGATGATCTCCAAGGACCCTCCTTCAGGCAAAGGACACAATTTTTGTCTGCTTTCCATCTGCACATTCACTGTCACAGTTAGCAAAGAAACAAGCATTGAGTAACTGCATTTTTCCAGAGTCCAAAATGTAATAGGAATGTATTTGATGCCCTAGATTAGTCTCCATAACAGTATCAACTGAGTTTGTTATTATGGAGACACAGAGGCAATCCAGTTTTAAGAAACCATTCTTTTGATAAATTTTGTGATAATATGATTTAACCTATGACTTAAAGAAACTTCTACACACATAATTGGAAAGCTCTATATTGAAAGTGTATTTCACAAATAGTTTCCAAATTATCTAAAACTATCTCCCAGCAGGTATTCGAGTTTTTTGTTTCCAAGTAGAAACTTATTTGATAAGGTGAAATATTCTGACCTCACAGGTTACAGAATTAGTTTTAAGATGGGAAGAATCTGTTCTTTTCATATAACTTTCAGTCTCAATACAACTTATTAAAAGTAAGATTATGTGTCAAAAAAGAAAAACAAAAACCTGCACACTTACCAGAATCTTATGCCTTTTAATGTTCCTTTGGCTAATTTCGGCTGCCATCAAAGCTTCCTACATTGACACGAGGATGAAAAAAGGAGTGGAAAAAAGGGAGAGAGAATGGGAGAGAGTGGGAAAGAAAAGACATTGGGGTTATAAACACTATATTAAGTTTTAACATTCTGGATTACACGAACGAAGACCCATTTTCCTGCAGCTTCTGCTTAAAGTACTGGAACTTTTAATGCTATGGTTGAATGAAATCATGAACTCAAATTCAAACAAGGGCAGTCAACGAAAATGAAGACTTTTTCACTTCCATTTGAATTCATTTCCACATTAAGATACTGGAATCACATTTCATACACAAAAAATCTAATATCCAGGCACCTGTTGCTCCAAATCTGTGTGACATACACGTGAGGGGCATGCTGAAGGAGGGGAGAAGGAAAGAGGGAACTTTTCCTTCATGTTTCAGTAAAAACTAACTACAGGTGTATGTTTCCGTATACCTACAATTAAGATTTGGGAAATTTCTGATTTTGTTTTAATTTTGGTAAGTATCAGCTTAGCATAAAAATTTAACATGATTTAAGCAATGACTGTATCTAAAGCAGTATGACGACAGCTAGGTTATGAACCAGATATTAATACCTAAAGCAGGGATGGTGAACCTTTTAGAGTTGTCAACGATACAAACAGCCCTAACAGGAAAGCCAGCGACTTCCTTGCTCTTTATGCCTTCCCTTCTGTGAGGGGTGCTGAGAAGTCATCAGCTTCCTACACATTTCTGGCTTGGGGTACCCTGCTTCAACCACACGTAAGATTTGCTACAAAAATCTTTTATTCTCTTTCTGTTCCCAACAAGTCAATACTGACAAAATTAAAACCAAAACTACTTCATATTTCTTCTTCTCGAGGAGCCAGTCGATGTGATCATCCTGGTCTCTCTCCTTGGCCACGACGACATCCCTTGGACTCACGATGTAGAAGAGCGATTCCCCTTCGGAGTACTCTAGAGGGGAGGGAGAAGAGAAGTGGTACAGAGGGTGCCCAAGGGGGCCCTGCTCGGTCTACCCACTGTCAGGGTGAACAGGAACTTGTCTGTCTCTGTAGCTAGTGTGCTTGGCTCTAGTGAATGGCAAGGAAGGAGACACAATATACTTCAGTGCTTTTCAAGAAATTTAGGTGTAAAAGTATTTGAAAGGGAAAAGAAGGAAGGAAGGAAAAAAGGAAAGAAGAAAAGCAGGTAAAATAAAATACATACTACAAAAAACCAAAAAAAAAAAAAAATCAAAAAACCAAAAAAAAAAAAAAAGACAGGTTTAGGATAATATATTGATACCAACTTCAGATGAAAAATAGTATTCAAAATTTTGTCTGTTGCATATTTGAATCCATCTACTGTTATAAACTTTATGTCTATTTATAGCACTGTTCTATTTTTACGGAATAATTACACCCTGCAGTTGGCGATAAATGTTTCCTTCTCATCAAGGTCAAGGCCATCAAAAGCGTAAATGACAGACGGCTGGCCCGGGGGACACAATCTATCATTTCAGCATGCTGTGCACAATGCCAATACAGAGGGTTTCCTTCAGAATTCAATTATAAAACCTGTTCGAAAGACTTTCTAAGTGCACAGCCAAGTTTTCTCTGAGCAAAATACTGGATGCTTTCGATGGCGAAATCACAGCTGCTTCTGGCCAAGTCCAGAATATACACTCACATTTTCCAACTCATTAGGGAGCTTCATATAACAAAGTTCAAACACCTATAGACTATTTCTTCATTTCTCTGGCTGAAATGAGAACTGAAAATATTCTTAGAAAATGTTTGTTTTTAATGCAGGAAAGAATTTCTAAAAAAGCTAACTCATCTGTTTTCCTCAATGTATTTTATAAGGAAATGATATTAGAACACAGAAATCCCTGGTGTTGCCAAATAGCAGTGAGTCTCTAGTTTCTGAGCAGTGAGTGACTAAGTGCATCTGCTAATCCACTCCACAGCCTTCACCCACTGTCCAGTCAGAGTCCCAATGCGAGGTCACAAACAGAACTACACCACCTCTCTGCCATCCCAAAGGTATAGCTGGGATGATCTGATAACCACAGGGTCACACTGCTCGACATCAACCTAAGTGTCACTTAAATCTTTAGGACAATGGAAACAATACAACAAAAAAGGAAGAGCCAACTTCTCATCTCCGACCTGGTCTCACCTCCACCTTCCCTTCTTCTTCTTTTTTTTTTTTTTTTTTTTTTTTTTTTTTTTTTACTGGGATCACTCGGGTCCTTTTCTTTTTTTTTTTTTTTTTTTTTTTTTTTTTTTTTTTTTCTGGTACCAGGGATCGAACTCGGGTCCTTGAGCTTGCGAGGCAGGTGGCAGAACCACTGAGCTAAATCCCTGGCCCCTACCTTCCCTTGTGCACTAGAGTTCAGGCGACCTCTGCAGTATCTCTGTGACTGGATGCTCTCATTTCCAACAGAGGTGGCCAGCCCAGATATTCTTCGAGATCCTTTCAGCACCTTGACTTAAATCTCCCGTGTGGCGGTCCATTCCTATAATCCCAGCACTCTGGGAGCTGAGACAGGATGATCACAGGTTTGAGTCTAGACAGGGCAACTCAGCAATGAAATGTCTCAAAATAAAAAGTAGAAAAAGGGTTGGGGATAGAGCTCAAGGTGAAGGTCACCACAAAATAACAAACAAACAAACAAATGAATAAATGTATATTCCTTTGTGAGAGTAGAGTACAGAAGAGCAAATCCCGCAAGAAGCCCCAGAAGCCAGATCTTCAGTGTCACTCACCTAAATGGTAGTCCCTGCATTCATTCTCCTGGAAGCCCCTGACTGTCAAGGCATCAGAGGAGATCTCCTCGCAAGTCTCAGGGAGTGGCTGGATGATGTCCAGCCTTGGCCTGGCACAGTATTCTCTTTCCTAGGGGCAGAAAGACAGGGAAAGGCTCATTTTAACTACATTTCTGTAAGTTATGCACACTAATTCAGGTTGTGCGTATTCACTTTGGTTTCAGCATTTTGCCCACATAACCCTTTCAGACAGGTCCTCACACTCCCATTTTCTGACCTTATTTGGGGGGAGAGAAACAGGTCGGTGTCATGTGGGCACCACAGCCTATCCTATCCCAGGGGAATGGGGGCCAAAGGCAGCAACTCAGATGATTTCACTACGTCTCCCCTACATGAATGTGAGGGAAGGTAAATAATATCACAAACCACTCCATCCTCGTGATAAGCTGAAAAGCTAAAGATGCAGACTCAGCTCTCAATCCCATCTCTGAAAATTCTCTGTATTTGCACCAACTAACACAGCAGACACCTGGCAGAGGAGGCTTCAGAACATATGAACTGTGACCAGTGGGACTAAGAAATCCAATCTTTAATTTTACTTAATTTTAGTTAGTTTAAACTTACACAGCCAAATACAGCTGGCGACTATAGCTTTGCACAGCCAAGTTGTAGGTGAAAACAGAGCGGGAAAGATGAGCTAACATTTGCTGGGGACCTGTGGTGATTCAACAAACCTAGCAGGTGATTATACATAGGCTGCTCATTTAAGTATTAGTGTTCCTGATGTTACACATAAAGGAACTAGGATAAAAAAACTTAAGGTTAAAGTTGCATAAGAGGAAGATATGTGGGAAAACTGGGATTTATGATGGGCCTTGGATTTGAAGTGTGTTCTACTTTAAAAGTTAATGATTTATAAGGATTCAGAACACAAGCGTAAAACACACGCTTGAATGCAGGGTGCAAATTACCAATACCCAAAGCACTTTGACAGTGGTGCTGGGAAGACACAGATTAGAGGAACCAAATGGGGGAAAAAATTCACAACTGTAGCAGCTCTCTGAGTTTCCTAAATGAAACAATAAACCTGGATTTGTTGACCAATTTTGTTAGGAAAACTGAGAAGCAATTACATTAGCTCTCCATCTCACACACTGAAAACATTCCAAAAATAAAACAGCAACTATAAAAGATCAGCTATAGGGGAAAGAAAGAAAGAAACAAACGAACAACAACAACAATAAAAAAAACAAAAAAACCCTACTGAATATATAGTATAATTTAACAGATTTATAGAGATGAGAAAGTTTTCAGTTTTTAAACAGAAAAAAGTCAAGGCAAAACTGAAAATTTTAAATATTTAAAAAATTGAATACAATAAAAAAACCCAGAGTAGTAAAGTAGAAAAAAGTACCCAAAAAATAACAACAAAAAAAGTAAAACCACCTCATTTGAGTATATAAAAATCTCTATCCATGTAAGAAAAGTATCAGCCACGCAATTCCTGTCACTTTACAACCCTTGTTCCTTGCTGCAGGGGGAAATAAGACTTCCCAACAGCAGGAATCTACTCTGGATGATCACTGATCCCTAGAGCCTGGCACCATTCAGAACACACCTGCTTTCTTAATGAATGAAAGAAAAGCAGAGCACTGGCGAATGGCCTCATAAATTAGGGTATATCCACCAGATGGAAAGGTGCATGACCGAGGGACATGGTAATGATGGAACCGCACAGGCACACGGAGTGAAGGAGCAATGTGCATAAAAAGAGGGCAGCACAGTGGAGTGAGGGGCTGACACTATACCAACACAGGCGCATGTGGAAAAGGCAGCACATTGGAAATAAAAATTTCAGAGCTAATGTTGAATGATGAAAAAGTAAATTTTACTTAACAGAGTTAAATGTCTTTTCAATAGGAAAAAAGGGTGGCCTGAAGCCAGCCACTGTATTCCTTTTGCCTTACATTTTTATTAGCTTATTCTGTGTTTAAGGATTTAAGGTGCACTTTGGTGCTAGATAAAATGAGTTTCTAAATACACTGGCGCAGTCATCTCCCAACACCTTCACTTCCTCCTCTGAAAAAATTTTATTTTCCAATTTGCTCTATAGGCTGGCTTTTCTCTGGTTTTTATTTCTTTCCAATACTCTCTTTTATTAACAAAGGTTTCCTTTCTTTCTATCCTCATTTTTTGGTCAATTGTTTATTATGCTTTCTCTTTTTCATTTTACTGCTTTTCTGATTTCTTTCAACCATTCTCAGCCCTCTCCACATTCTTCATCAAAAAGCATTCTATTTACCCCCTCAGGAGCCACTGCTTTTCTTTATTTCCAAAAAATAAATAAAATAATAATAAACTGATGTCCTGCAATAGGGCTAGAAGCCAACCTTATCGATTTTAGGAGTCGGAGTGTTCACTTAGGTCTACAGCACTGCATTGCCTAGCAACATGGGCACCCAGAGCTCCAGTTACTATAGTGATGGCTCCTAATGCAAGTGCTTGCTCAGGGAAGTGCTCCAGTGCAGCTACAACTTCAAAACAAGGGCTCCCAGGGCTTTTCTCTCCCGTTCCATTCTATGCCATTGGGGGGAGGGGAGAAGGAGAAATGAACAATGAGCACCCAGTCATCTATTTACCATAAATGGACAGAGCATCAATTGCAATTTCTTTTATATACAGCAACCAAGTGAAAATTCTTTACAATAAAACTCTTGTTTGTGTCACAAAGCTGCACACTTCAACCCCTTCCTGGCAGCACCCTGGACTCACAGGCAGGCTAGGGATGGGGCTTCACAGGGACACCGAGTGCACCCAACCCTCTGCCGGACCCTACATGTAAGCTTCACGCCAAGGCCATTATAATGAAATCTAGATGATGGGTTGTTTCTATTGGCCACACGTCTCAATGGATTATCATTTGCCTTGATAACTGAGAGTTAGCATCAGTTCATTTCGAAGTGATAAGCTACTCAGAATCACTAGGCCACTGGGAAGCAAACAAATATGTCAGGACTATAGGAAATAATGAACGACCCTTTCGGTAATTCCCTCTGACCACGGGGACCCCTGTTGTTGCAGCCAATCAACTTCATTGCTGTCATTTCTGTCAATGTGCAGTGTCAGCTCAGCTTCTTTGCCTTTTAGCAGGAGGAATCCTTCATTCTTTTCTACTAAAATAGCAAGAGACTGATGAAAAAAAGAAGGAAGAAAATGACTCTCTTCTTTGCTCAGCAAAAGAACAAACACAGGAAATAAGAGGCGCTTTGGAAAGTAAACATATTAGGTCACCAGGGGCATCTCTGCAGTCTTCTTTTAGGGGTCAGGAAGTTCTTCCCAGATGACTGATAGCAGACTCCCCCAATAGGTAACACAGCCTGGGCGTGATGCTACAAACAAACCTCCGAGTTCCTCTGTATCCCGGGAGAAAATAATTACCATCTTTTCTGAAACCTCCTTTACATAGGAAAGAACAACAAGCTGGTCACAGAGAGGTGCAAGTCCACTGATGTAGAATTCAGTTTCAAACTGAGACACTGCAAAAAAGAAAAGAAAAAAAAAAGATAAAAGACTCACCATTAAAAAGGAGCAAAAAGCAGCATGCAACCAGAATGCATCAACGTGAAGCTAGATTGATCTATTTTAAAAAGAAATGATGTATGTTTAAGGAGATGGAGATGCTAACTAGCTTGATTTGGTCATTGCACACCGGACCCATGTATCGAATCATCACTGTACTGCATAAATATGTACAATTAGGTATCAATTTAAGGTAACATGAAGGGAGCACAGTGAAAAAGATTTTCACCATGCAACATGGAAGATGCATCCCTATAATCAGAACTGGGAAGGATATGTGGGAAGAGACTTTAAAATTTCCATCACCACCAACAAAAAACAAACAAACAAACAAACATGGGTAATGGATGAGACTGAGGTGCTAAAAAAAAAAAAATCACATGGTTAACTAACATCAAGTGCTTTGAAACCCATAAAACCAGATGGAAACTATCATTAATTACAATACTTTTTTTTTAATGTCCAAGTTTGTTTTCCAGAACTGGGGCATTAGAGTGGTACAATGGTCACAAGGAATGCGCTCTACAATTGTGAAACACGAATTCTTAATTTTGGTATTGAAGACTCTGAAGTTAAAAAAAAAAAGGAACATACATACACATTATATTATGATCAAACATTATTTCTTCAGTGAAACAAAAGTTAGAGAAAAAATAAAAAGCTTTTTTACAAATAGTCTATTTAAAATTTAGAAGAGATTTTACAGAATTCAGGAAGCGAGTTTCATTACAGTTCACCCTAAAGATCTGACAGCAGCTCAGTGGAAGAAGTACAAATATTACTATGCTATGATTCTGACTGGTTGCTGCTGTAAAAAAGAAATGACTTATTTTGAGATAATGAGTTTGGATGTGGCTTATTACACAGCAGAAGTTAGCTGATACAGTAGTGGTTTGGGCAGGAATTTTTCCAGGAATCAGAGGCTGCTCTTAAGAGATCTGGTTGGGCCTAAGCTCTCATCTGGACTCATTTCATTTTCTAAGAGTTTCTTGATTCAGATCATCTCCACAGCTCTGGGATTAGCTGCGCTTAGTTAATGTCTACAGTGAAATCACTTTTCCCATGCAGGGGAACTCAATGAATCATGCTGCAAACAATACTGAATGTCGAGTCAGGAAATCTGGGTTATAACTTCTACTAAATTGAACCTGAACAAGTCACTTTAACTTCTGTGGGTCTAACTTTTCCCATCTATAAGATAAAGGAATGAGAGTGGAAATAAAATCCATAACATAGATGGAATGAGGGCTACCAAACTTTCTTCTCCTTTCTCTCTGCCTCGCACCAGACTCAGTGTTCCTTGTCTGTGCCAATCTTTGTCTTCTCCTTACATTTTTTTTGTACTGGGGATCAAACTCAGCACCTTGTGCTTGCAAGGCAGGCCGCAGAACCACTGAGCTAAATCCCCGGCCCAATACTATCCTTTTTAAAGTTTATGTTGTTAACTATTTAGGAATTCTTTTGTCGTCTATTTTAATGTGAAAAATTGCGTAAGGAGGGCCGGGGATTTGGCACAGTGTTTCTGCCGCCTGCCTTGTAAGCGCAAGGTGCTGAGTTTGAGCTCCATTACCAAAAAAAAAAAAGACAGAAAAAAGAAAGGATAGTATTTCTTACACTTTGCTCTTGATTACATCATTTAAGTGATCATGAGGTCCTGGGAAAAATTATAAAATAAGGTCCAAGTGTGGGTTCTGGTCCAAGTTTTTGAATTAATTACACAGTTTACATAAAAGCCTCACCACAGGGCAGAGAGGCATGCCCAGTGCATTCAGGCTGAAGAAGGGTCCAGAGACCTCACTGTGCTGTGTGAAGGTGGGGACAGCTAGGGGTGAGCTGGAGTGCTACAGAGGCTGCTGAATATTACGAAGCCACAGGACCCAGTGATAGAGGAAATGGATATCACCTTCTAGAAGACGTAGGTAAATAACAGGAGGTTTTGGTTGCCATCACTTCTGACTGACAGAAAGGGCTTGAGTTCTGTTTTATACCAAATCAAGTCCCATCACTGAAATGTTACTACACATTTTCCCTGCCAGCAACCTGGGTGAACAACAAAGGATCAGCAATACTGCAAGAACCCCTCTCATGAGGATCTCAAGGAGGCCTTGCTGTGCTTGTTTGCCACAGGTACCTACAGAAAACATCACTATCACAAAACATGTGGTGGGTGAACCAGGTATTCTCCACATTTGGGAAACCAATCAGGTGGCTCGGGCTCACAGACAGGCAGTGCCAGTGCCTCCTAAAGGTAAATATTCATCAAGGCTGAGTTTTATGAATGAACTGTAAGATACAGAACAAAGAAGCTAGAAAATAGTCCTACCCAAATCTTCCCTCCTATATGGTCCCACCCTAGTCTACAACTTGCAGGAACAACATAAAAAACTTCATGTTCTCTAAGAGTATAGTAGAAACTCCAATAATGTGTTCTTGAAAAAAAAGGAGATTGCACAAGCAGAGTTCTCAATTCCAGACATTGTTTAGTACTTTATCTGTTAGGTACTAAACTTAGCAGACATTGTGACTTGAGAGCTAGCAATGATTTTGATGGACTACGTCTAGTAGTAGCAAATTATAAACACTAATGATGTTATTTATAAAAGAAAAGATTTTGTGGACACTCTGACATTTTCAAGATTTCCAGAGGCACAGAAACAAGTTATCCACATCCAGACAAAACTAAGATGTTCTTTTTGTTAAGATAATTTCTTAATATCAACACACATCACGTAAGAGAAAAAAACCTGCAATTATATTAATCCAGTATGACTCACAAATCCAGAGTTCTCAGTGGCTGTTTATCTTGTCTGGGAGTACTCTCCCATGTAGCAATTCATCTCCATTAATACCCACTAGTAAAAACATCATGTTAAAGAAAAAAAATCCCTTATTGTTAATTTGGGTCGCTTGTTTATGAAATGTCTGCAGCTACTCTGCCGTAAAGTATGTCATTAGGGAGAATGGTGGGGTCTTGTTTTTTCCACTGCCCTTCACTAACACCATGAAAGGTGAATGTGTTTTAGGTCTAAGATGACACAATTTAGTTTTCACATTAACACTGAATCCAAGGGCAGGCTGGAGACAGAGGTGTCAGAATAGAAGTTGAAAGGAAGAAATACTGAATGGTCATATTTATTCTTCTAAAGAACATGGAGACAATGTGAAATAGGAAGAAAAGGGCTAAAGATGTAGGGAAAGTGGGAAGAGTAGGGGAAAGGTAATAAGGGAAAGAAAAAAATAGGAGAAAATGAACAAATAGAAATAAAATGTTTGTAAATGGGGAGGGGAGGAGGGGGTGAAGGGAGGGCAGGGACAAGGGGAAAAAATGAGAACCAAGACCTGTCATGTAAAGGTAAAAGATTCCAATAATGAATGTAACTGTACTGTATACCTAAAATGTACCAATAAACTCAATGAGGGGGAAAAAAAAGCTTACAGGCCACAAAATGAAAAAAAAAAAATGGAAAAATATATAAAAGTTTATTCACTGACTCTGTTAAACATCTTCAGGTAATCACTGGGTCTTTACTACAAAATTCCAGCAGGCCAGTGAAAGTTATTTATTTTCTCTGAAATTTTCTTTCTATTGCACAGAATAATAATTTTAACAGCTTTAATAAAAATCTTTTTTTTTCCCTAAAGGAAATCCATTTGAATACACATGGCTTACAAGACTAATGGTTCAACTTTTCTTTTTTAAAAAAATTAACTTTATTGGTACATTGTAGATATAAATTACGATTACATTCATTGACTGGGAATTTGTACCTATACAGGATATATCTTAGTTCTTGTTTTCTTCCACTCCCCTTCCTTCTCTTCCACCCCTCCACCCCTTTCTATTTACAAAAGCTTTGTTTCCATTTTTTTCCCTTTTTTTCTCGTATTTTTTCCTTTCCCTTCTTTCCTTTCACCATTTTTTTTTTCTTTTGTTTTTTTGAGACAGGGTCTCACTATACAGTTGAGACTGACCTGGAACTCACTATGTAGCCCAAGCTGGTCTTGACCGCAAAGCGATCCTCCTGCCTCAGCCTCCCAAGTGCTGGGATTACAGGTGTGCTCCACCATGCCTGACTCTTTCACTGTATTTGAATGGTTTATCCAGAAAAGATAAATCACAAAATAAATAAAATAAATCCCACTGTGTTTAGAAAACACAAAACAGAAACAGAAAGGAAAAGCTGGATGATGAAAGAGAGAAAAGTGCAGTTTCTAGCTAGCAGCTACAGAAATTGGAAGCTATGCTTCAGAACAAGGTGATCTGGGGCAGTTCTAGGGCCTGGCTCAGAGTGTGACGGCCACAGGCACAGCGTCCCACGGAAGAACTCAGGGTGGTGGGCTTCATGGTTACAACAGCCTTCTTCTTCCTGATGAGAGGAAATGGGGCCTCTGTGGTTTATTCCACAGCATAACTCATGCCTAGCCATGGCTAAAAGAAGGAACTTAAGGGAAAAGAGACAGAAAGACTAGGTGGACTAAGAGAACAAGTTTCAAAAGAGCTGCTGACATGAAAATTCTATCCAGCCAGGTCTTCTGGATCTAGAATGAGGATGAGACTAATATAACTCTGTGCAGTCCTGATTCAGAAGGGAGGCTGGAGATTTATCGATGCTGCCTGGCAGAAATATAGTCAAGTCCAAGGCACAAATTACATATACAACTTTAATTAAATTTTCTATTACCATGATAAGGAACAAAAGCTTTGAAAGAGGGGACATTTTAATAATGTACAAGGTATGATAGAAAAAAATTTTTTAAACTCTTTTAAAAATAACAGTAAAAGCCAGGGATTTAGCTCAGTAGTTCTGTTGTCTGCCTCCCAAGCACAAGGACCTGAGTTTGATCCCGCTACAAAAAAACCAAACCAAACCAAACTAAAAAACAGTAAAAGCAACACTGCCATTGATCCCCTCAAAATCCTCCCCCTTGCTTCAAATACACTTATCCCATTGTCCTT